AGAAATATCTCGAATGACCGATGTGTTGATCATAGTCGAATCCATAGCGTCAGTCTCATCCCTCAACGATGAAGAATCTTAGAGATGATTCGGGATACCATGGTATAATTATTACAAGGTAGGGCACATGGCAAAATAAATAGGCACTCCATTTCTTCATAAATTCGACGTTGTTGTATTGGTGTATAACAGCTGTCATACTGTCGTAACTCTGATTCTGTGATTTGGCAGCGCAACAGCTGCTTGGTTCGGATTGATGTTTTGTTGCTCAGGAAGAGGGTTGTGTCATGCCCACATTTATGGAGGCTTTATTACGGAGTCTCCTCCTAGCTTTCTTAGACACTACCTTGTCTTCTTTTGCAATGGCTGGTTATGTCAAGGATTTCTCATAGATCAGGGACTCCCTCGAAGGTCCTGAATGATAATCGGTTTTCTTTCCCGCTCGTTCTAATCTGAGTCTTCCATAGCATTGACCGAATGTGTCGTTTACGTTTCTGAGTCCGTCCATTAATTCAGTGGGAACATCATCAACCTACCCCTGACGCGCATCAAGTTAGGGCTTCTATCTCCATCGAGATCGACTTATTTTCCCATTTCGTTGTGTTCATAACACTGGTATCCATAGTGTTATTTTCGTCCTTCAAAGCTGAACCATCTTAGAGATAATTCGGGATACTCTCTTGGCGGAGACGAAAGGAAACGGATTCCTCAATTGGATAGAATTAGAAGGTTCGAGTGTCTCTCCAGGCTCGTGTTTATGTCATCGACAGTTTGAGGGGGTTTTAAAAACAAACCACACGTATTCTCTCTCAATTTATATCTGCCGTTTGTTTGGCTTAGGAGGAAGAGTAACTTACAATACCAATGCAAGTAATATGAGCATCACTGCATTAGATCGTTGGCAGTTGTAGGTTAAATTTATTGTTGAAGCTACAATTGTAGATGTCGAGTCTAAGAATTGAAGGTTCTATTACGGGTTTGTGTATGTGGATTCGAGGACTTGACAACTAAGCCTGAATAACTAGTTGTTGGCGCTCAGTTATTAAGAAGTGTGAAACACTGATGAGCTCGAAATTGCCTATCAACCCAGCGTTAGGGAGGTGACCTAAGACCTAGGAATTGGTTATTTAGAGGCGCCAATGTCGATCTTGGGATTATAGGCGATCGGCCATTTTCTCGTAGACTATCCTCCGTTGAAACGAACTAAAAAAAAAACGAAACGAGTGAGATTTGCTCAAGCAATTTCGGTAATGCTTGAATTGAATTAGAAAAAAGGTAAAACACATCGTTACTTCGACAGTGACAAACTTTCTATGCATTTCATAACGAGTTGGACATTTTTTCCTGTTACTTCTCTTCGGAGCACAAAGCATCGACATTTTACTCGATTAGTCGTTGTGTTATTTAGCCGGCTGCCATCTATCGTTGCATAGAAACAACGCCAAATTGAATTGTAATCGGATAGTCAGCTGCGCTAATGGGGTGCCTATTTATTTTTCCATTTGCCGTACCTTGTAATAACTATACAATGTTATACCGAATCATCTCTAAGATTCTTCACCTTTGAGAGATGAGAATGACGCTATGAATTCGACTGCGATCAACACAGCGGTCATTCAAGAGACTTCTCCAAATCAACATGCTCTCTACAAATTTTTAAACTATTGACCCATTGTGATATGTACTAGAAGATGTGGAACGATAAGTCCCATTGCATAAGTTTAGTACGTTCTGACCCAACTTCCCGAGCTCAGTCAATCACGTCTGCACATCGCTTCGGCAAGTTCGCTCAGCGGAGACCGATGTGAAAAACGCAGCGTATAGGGCAACCCCGCAGACAACAGCAACACGTAATGCGATTGAGAATTATCGGGAGAAAAGGAGAGAGGAGAAACGTATTTTCAGAAAAAAGAAAAAAGAACAAAAACGGGAGCGTTAGCAAATCGAGATGTACAAGTGTCAGAATGTAGTCCGGAAAATCTACCAACGAGTAAAACATTGTGTAAAAGCAATAGGGCTGCTACAACATCAACAACAACAATCCGGTGCAGGTACATCTTCCTGTAGTGATGTAGAAGGAACCCTGGTGTTAGCGTGTTGAGGATCTGGGAGGAGCATTTTGAAAAGCTTCTGGTATCAAATAGTGGGGTTGAAGAAGATGTCCCAGAACCAATAAGAGATGACGGTAATAGAGTGTATACCACCTAGCAATAGCAATCAATCGGCTGAAGAGTAATAAATCAGTAGGAACATATGGGTACCAGCCGAACTATTCAAGACTGGTGATCAGATGATGGTCAGGAACCTGCACCAGCTGATTAGTACAATTTGGCTAGAGGAATGTCCAATGATTGGAACCCCTGCATCCTTTGTCTCGTGCACAAAAAAGAAGACAAGACGATATGTGCCAACTATAGAAGAATTAGCCTTCTTCCCATCGCATATAAAGTTCTATCCGGTGTGCTGTGTGAACGATTGAAGCCAATGGACAATGACATTATTGGCCAATACCAATGTGGCTTTAGACCTGGCAATTGACCAGATTTTCACTCTGCGCTAAATCCTAGTAAAAACCCACGAAAAACACATAAAACCTATTCGTCGACTATAATACTCCTTGTACATTTGAACTTTTTACCTACTACTTTATGAGGATTTATTTGACATATATGCAAAGGAAATGACAATTGAAACCCACTGGGTTAACGAAATCCGGTTAAATGTAAACATAGTGTAAAGCCGCATTCGACAGCCCTATCCATTCAGAGATGTTTAAAGCTATGTCTACGTTCGGCATTCCTGCAAAATAAATGCAGAATAATACGGCATTTACATTAGAACTTTTTACCGGGTTAACCTACTTTATGAGGATTTATTTGACATATATTCCAAGGAATTGAAAATTTAAACCCACTGGGTTAACCAAATCCGGTTAAATGTAAACGACCTTTAACTTTAAGTGGCACAAGGTCTGCAGTTTAAGTCGAAAATGACTTATCGGAGCCCTTCAATACAGAACGAGGACTCAGACAAGGTGACAGTTTCTCGTATGATCTTTATAACATCATACGAGGTTAACAGAAATGACACTCTGTACACCAAACAACACATGTTACTCGCCTACGCCGATGACATCGATATAATGGCTTGGACATTGCGAGCGGTAACATCCACATTTGAACAAATTAAGAAGAAGCCTGCATGGTGGGTCTGGCATTAAACGGCGAGAAGACCAAGCTGATAGTATCAGAGAGAGAAAATTTCTCCGAAAGATCTACGAGCCGATACGCGTCGACGGTGAATATCGGCGTCGAATGAACCACGAGCTTTACAATCTATACGCGGACATCGACATAGTCAGTCGTATCAAGCTGCAGCTACTACGGTGGCTAGGTCATGTTGTGAGTAAGGAAGAAGATGTCCCAGCTCAAAAGGCATATAAAAGCGAGCCTACTGATGGTACACGCAGAAGGGGAATGTCACGAATTAGATGGAAAGATCAAGTAGAAGACAACATCTCGGAATATGGTCTTTCAAATTGGAGGAGATTCGCACAAGACCGACGCGCTTCAAAATCTTTTTAAGCTCGGCTTATGGAACAACCGTTCTGTAACAAGCCAGCTAAGTAAAGTAAGGAGTGGATCGATATTCCCCATTATCGAACTTGATGTAAATTTGAAAATCATGTGAAAAGTTTGGATGGAATTGGTTTCTGTCTACGAGAGTTATCGCATCGCAGCAGTCCGACAGACAGACAAAAGGAAAGACATTTGTAAATTTGACACAAAGTTGCCTAAAACATATTTGGTCCAAAGGTGTCTAAAACCAATACTTCGATACGCACATTTACAATTTACTGGATTTAGTGAATCCAGATAATTTATATTATCAATTCCATTGCATTAATGTCAAATAAATTCTCATACAAGTCAAACGTGATAATAATGAAACTGTTTCCACATTTCCGCATCTAGTCATTCCCAATTTTAGTTTTATTGTATGTACATTTATATGGAATTAGATTTAGTAAATCCAATTTATTTAAATTGTCAATTCCATTGCATAGATGTCAATAAATGTTAATCGAACTAAAATGGGATTTACATTAGAACTTTTTACCGGGTTAACCTACTTCATGCGGATTTATTTGACATATATGCAAAGGAATTGACAATTGAAATCCACTGGGTTAACGAATTCCGGTTAAATGTAAACTTACTAATATATTCAAAGAAAGTGACAATTTAAACCCTCCAGGTTAACGAAATCCAGTATAATGTAAACATACTATAAACGATATATTTCCGAAGAAGTGGCATAATAAGAAAATAATTAATGAGGTTATAATAAATAATAGTTAATTAAATTATAATAAATAATATTTAAATAGAATACGAATATGGAAATACAAATTTGCCATTCAGCCAAGAATGTAACATGTGCGCACGTCAATATTTAAGTCTCTACCAATGAAGAAAAAACAAGAGCAATATTACCACACATTAAAACAGCTGTTTTGAGGGAAGACTGATCAAAACAAAATTCGGCAACAAACAACAAATGGGGCGAGCAAAACAAAGAGACACACAAAAACGTAAACAAAATTGTGCAAAGGAATTTCTTCCTTTCAAGGCAACAACAACAACAGGGGTAAGTCAGCAGCTGCAGACCACGGCATTTAAAAATAAAATTATTTCATCGAATAAAACATAAAATAAAGATGTATTTTATTCATTAAGTATTGTTTTCATTGGTTTATTTCAGAATTTTAATATTTTCTGTGTTTCATCACGAATAATGAAGTTTATTTACATTCACATTAGGGGTCATCACATATGGCAATAACGTTAGTTAATGTACTCAGAATGAGAGAGGTGGCAACGCTGATGCTACATAAAACATACATAATTTACTTAGCGTTTCCCTGATGAGGACAAAGTTATAAAGGAGTGCTACTAATCCATAAAATTGCTTACCAAAAGGACAAAATTCCCCTTTGGAATGGATGTGGAAAGTGAAAAAATCGATGCTATTGAGGCATGTCGAACGTGTGGTGTTTATTATATGACCACTACCAACTATTTGAGGCCACTATTTCAATCGGCTGTAGACTGTCCCGAAATGATGCATATACGCTTGGAATTGGCTCAATGGAAAATAGAGGTAATGTATTGGGTGTATTTGTGTGAGAAAGTGTTAATAATTTCCTTTTGTTACAGATAAGTGAACATGACGGTTTGCCTCAATATATGTGCAATACATGTATACATGAATTCCTGAAAATATTTAAATTCCGTTCGGCCTGCTTGGAAACCCAAGACCAGTTGCGTATATTCTATAATATGCGTGAACAAAATTTGGCCAACATTAAAATAAAGACTGAAGTTGTAGATCCAGCAGATGAAGCACCTGAGTGTAATTTCATATATGTCGATGATATCAGCGATGATGAGTACAATGATAATATAACACCATTTAAAGTTCCTCATGTACCCATAAAAGAGGAACTAATCGAAGAAGCCAATGTACCATGTGAAAATATGAAAAATCTGCATGTCAGTAAAGAATCCTCGTCGGAGAATGTTGAAACAGCTCCTGTGGTCTATGAGCAAGCCTATGCATTAGAGTCAGCTCAAGAAACACGCGAACCTTCTCCCACACCGGTTGAATGCGAGCTGTGCCAACATATCTCGCCCAATCAAGATGAACATAAACAACATTTACATCGGGTCCATGAAGTTCGTGACATTGAATGCCATATTTGTGGTAAAGTTTTCAAAAATTCCACAACATCACGTTTTAAATTCCATCTCAAATGGCACAACCTTAACAAGCATGTCAAATGTCCTCAGTGTGGTTTCGTGTGTAATTCTCGGGCGGCGCTCAAGGAACATCGTAGAGCCGTTCATACGAAAATCAGTTGTAAAATATGTGGAAAGGGTGAGTGCTTCGATTATTTTATTTTTTGTCATTTATCATTTAATTGTGAATTATATAAAAAAGGTTGACATTGTAACAGCAGGAAGTATTTAGTTGTTGAAATTACAAAACGTCCCCATTGGAGTGGATTTTTAAAGAACATATAAAGGTCCATAGGCGCGGATTTTTAAAAAAATGTTTGCCAACCATCTAAAGACCCATATGCGTGGGTTCTTTTAATGAATATATACCAAACATCTAAAGAGCCAGAGGCGTGGATTTTTAAAAGAATTTTTTCCAACCATCTAAAGACCCATATGCGTGGGTTCTTTTAAAGAATATATACCAAACATCTAAAGAGCCAGAGGCGTAGATTTTTAAAAGAATTTACCAGCCATATTAAGATCTATAGGACGGGATTTTTTAAAGAATTTTTAACAAACATCTAAAGATCCAAAGAAAGGGACTCTAGGAATGGATTTTTAAAAGAATTTTTAGTAATCATTTAATGATCCAAGGGCGGGAATTTTTCAAAAAATTTTTAGATCCAAAGACGTGGATTTTTAAAAGAATTTTTACCAAACATCTAAAGACCCATAGGCGTGGATTTTTAAAAGAATTTTTAGTAACCATTTTAAGATACAAAGGCTTGGATTTTTAAAAGAATTCTTAGTAACCATGAAAAGGTCCAAAGGCGGGAATTTTTCAAAGAATTTTTAGTAACCATTTGAAGATACAAAGGCTTGGATTTTTAAAAGAATTTTTAGTAACCATTTTAAGATACAAAGGCTTGGGTTTTTCAAAGAATTTTTAGTAACCATTTTAAGATACAAAGGCTTGGATTTTTCAAAGAATTTTTAGTAACCATGATAAGGCCCAAAGGCGTGGATTTTTCCAGGAATTTTAGTAACCATTTTAAGATACAAAGGCTGGAATTTTTCAACGAATTTTTAGTAACCATTTAAAGGCCCAAAGGCGTGAATTTCTCAAATAATTTTTAGTAACCGTTTAAAGATCCAAAGGTGTGGATTTTCCAAAGAATTTTTACCAACCAACAGGAATACAAGTTGTTGCGGGGTTGATGTGTTTTTTTTTAATCCTTCTAATCCTTTTCCTATTCTTCATTTTTGGATTTTTAATGGGATAAATCCTGTAATTTAATCATGCAGTTTTGAAGGCTTTTATTCTGCCCCTAAAGCAGAGAGTTCATTAAAGTCCATCCTGTGCTTTAAGCGTAAATTTTCTGACTTCCAATTCCATCGATTTTTTTCAATCTCGGAAAAAATGTTGTATTATCTTTTTTATTCCAAAATTAATTCTTCTCATCCCCAGGTGTCTTGGGCAAAAAAATGAAAAGTCATTTGCGACAACATGAAATCCTCAACAAAATTCGCTGTGAATACTGCAATGAATGTGAGTAACAATCGCCCTCCAAATAATATTTTTTTCTAATTAAAATTCCAAAATTCTAGCCTTCCAAACAAACGACGAAAAGGAGACTCATATATGGCAAATTCATGCCCAGGAGGATACTAATGAAGCAGTCAATCAACAACCAACCTATGATACCGAACAGCATAATTATTCAAATATTCCCCAAGACAATGAAAATGACGAAGCGGGCGACGACGACCTTGATGATGATGATGAAATAATACATGTTGAATTATTGTGTGCCCATTGCGATCAAAAATTCAGTGAACAAATTGATCTTATCGAACATGTTAAGCTGGAACATAGTTCGAAATATAAACAACAACAACAATTTGTACCATTTATTAAACAAGAAAAAGACAATGACGATCAGGTGACCGAGCAGGAAGATGAAAATAAAATAACAAGATTTGAAGACTATGATGAAGATGATGGTGGGGGTTCACAAAATGACAGTACACAATATGCTGATCAAAGCCACGGTGATAATGCAAGAGCAGAGGAAGAGGACGCACAAGGGGGAGAGCAAAATAATACACAATTTTCTAATTATCATGAAGAAGAAGAACACTCAGAGATTAATGATAATAACAGCTATGCTCAAACGGACACCACGATGGAAGAAGAATCTCAAAATAACATGGAATACAGTTCATCATTTAATGAATCGGATGCGGAAGCTTTTTCACAACAAACTAACAATAATGATGACGAACTTCTGTCATTTGCCTGTGCCAAGTGTCCACAAACCTTTGCCACAATTGAACAGTTACGAATGCACTATCAACAACATCAGCAGGAAAAGGAACAGCAAGACGACAACTCTCCATCTAAATCGAAATTCAGCTGTGATATATGTCACAAAGAATTTGGACTAAAATTCAGTTTAAATCGTCATATGCGAAAGCATGCAAAGCCAACTTCGTAGTAATTTTTAAAATACACTGTATTTTTTAATGAGGTGTATATAAGTTGTAGTATTATAAATATGTATTTGTTAGTAAATATACATAAGTCTTATATGGCAGTTTTCTCTTAAACAAAGTGGCTCCATAATTTTTTCAGTTTACTTAACTACTGTACGCATTGCAAAAAATGAAAAGTATTTTCCAAATGTTAAAAACAAAATAACGATAATAAATTAAATATATATTCCTAAAATTATCAGCCTTATTCTGGATGTCAATTCCATGTGAATTTACTCGCTCTTTCCCTTCGCCTTATTCTGAACAACATTTTCCGGTGAATTTTTTCGCATTCTCGCTTTCGCCTTATTCTGAATGAAGTTCGAAAGCGAAAAAATCCGCTTTGGGGAAAAATTAGGTATTCTGAATTACAGGGAGTAGGAAATTTTGTGCGAAATTTTTCGCTAATAAATTTAAGGGGAGTTGACTACAAAAACATAAGTAATAACTATTTTTATGAAAAATATTTACACAATACTTATTCTATGACGATTTAGAATATTATAAATTATAGTAAGCAAATTTTTAACTGGAAAACAACCAATAAAATGCCATTGGAAAACCTATTGATAACGATGTATGCTGAACCAAGTATTGCCAAGGAATATATGAAGGTAATAAGTAATATTTAAGTCGAGTTTGATGCATTTTGGAGGCGAAATACAGACATTTTGGGTGAGGATATGTCTCTCAAGAATAAAATTTTGAAAATTATGGAAAACCCAAATTTGCCTGATGACCCGCTTAACAGTGAAAAACTTAAATAAAAATTATAAAAGAACAAAAAATATTTTTTTTTTTTCAAAATTATGGTGTGCATGATTTGAAGGAAGAAATAAAGGAATATGAGCAAATCATAACATAACAGGCCACTTTATGAATTTGGGGAGATAAAATATCGGAATTAAATAAAAAGGCACACAATTATGTAGTGAAATGATAAACTGTGAATTAATTAATTAAATCGCAGATTTCTTCCTATTATTCGTTGTGTTTTGCCATCATAAAAAATGTTCTTTTATTTGTAATCTATTGTAGTCGTTGCAACAAATTGCATCAAAACAATGAACAGCTGTTTCACATGCCATATTGTAGGTTGCCATATTTTCAAACTTTAATTTATTTTCTTTTAATTACAAAGCATTTATACAGCGGATTCTTGATATTTCAAATTTGTATTGCTATAAAGTTTAAATAACAATAAAAAGTAACATTTTTTAAGGCTTAAATGCACTTTACGGACACCTCTCAGATCATTTTGAAATTTTTATCATAGTTAGCCCTTCTGATGCTGATTACAGCAACATAATTTTTTTCGGGGGGAAATCAGTACTTTCCGAGATATGGGGTTCCAAAGTTCAAAAAATACCCCCACTTGTTATTAAACATATTTAAGAATACCACTCCGAAACGTTTAGTTTTTTTACAACACATAGTCCTTTTGGAGCTGATTACAACCACATAATTTTTTTTGGGGGGAACTTCGTACTTCCGGAAATATGGAGTTCCAAAATTTTAAAAATAAGCTTATATTGTTATTTGTTTGATTTCAGGATTTTTTCCTTTAGGGACACTCGGATTTTCCACTCAATTGTCCACCTGTCCATAGGATAAAGTCTTAAATCCCCGGCCGAAGGCCGGCTATATAGAAAAAATTGAAATTAAAAGAGAATTCTGCTCGCGTAGCCCAATTTTCCACCTGTCCATAGGAGAAAGTCTTAAATCCCCGGCCGAAGGCCGGCTATTTTGAAAAAAATTGAAATTATTCCGGAAGTACGAAGTTCGCAAAAAAAAAAAAAATAATTAGGTTGTAATCAGCTCCAAAAGGACTATGTGTTGTAAGAAATTTAAATGTTTCGGAGTGGTATTCTTAAATATATTTAATAAAAAGTGGGGGTATTTTTTGAACTTTGGAACCCCATATCTCGGGAAGTACTGATTTCCCCCCGAAAAAATTTATGTTGCTGTAATCAGCATCAGAAGGGCTACCTATGGTAAAAATTTCAAAATTATCTGAGAGGTGTCCGTAAAGTACATTTGTTCCTTTTTTAATAACAAAAATCAATAAATAATATATTGAAAAATGTTACACAATTAAATTACAATGGGGCAACACACATTGCAACTTAAATTACAATATGGCCACACACATTGCAACTTAATTTACGACATGGCAACACGAATCTTTTTTTCAACCACCATTTTCGAAAACTCGAATCAGCATCTCGCATTTTTTGCATCTCCCTATTCATTCAGAATAAGGCGAGAATGTGAAAGCGAAAATTTTCTACATGCGAGATATCTCCCTAGCAAATATCCAGAATAAGGCTGTATAACAGTTGTAAATGTGTTTTGATTTCAGTGAATTTAAATCCATCCAAAGGCGTGGAATTTTTAAAGATTTTTTAGAAACCATCTAAAGGCCCTTTGGCGCGGATTTTGTAAAAAATTACATCAATTTAAATACCCAAAAGCTCCGGTTTTTAAAAAAGAATCAGCATTAATTCATATACCCAAATGCGTGGGGGGTTTTTTAAAGAATTTTTAGCAACCATTTATACCCTCAAAGGCGTGGATTTTTAAGAAGAATTTTTAGCAACCATTTAAAGAACCAAGACGTGGATTTTTTTAAAGAATTTTTAGCAACCATTTAAAGAACAAAAGGCAACCATTCCAAGACCTAAAGGCGTGGATTTTTTAAAGAATTTTAGCAACCATTCCAAGATCTAAAGGCGTGTAATTTTTAAAGAATATTTAGCAACCATTCCAAGACCTAAAGGTGTGGATTTTTTAAGAATTTTTAGCAACCATTCCAAGACCTATAGGCGTGGATTTTTATGAATTTTTAGCAACCATTCCAATACCTAAAGGCGTGGATTCTTTAAAGAATTTTTAGCAACCATTCCAAGACCTAAAGGCGTGGATTATTTATGAACTTTTAGCAACCATTCCAAGACCTAAAGGCGTGGATTTTTTTAAGAATTTTTAGCAACCATTCCAAGACTTAAAGGCGTGAATTTTTTTAGCAACCATTGGATTTTTTAAAGAATTTTTAGCAACCATTGGATTTTTTTAAAGAATTTTTAGCAACCATTGGATTTTTTTAAAGAATATTTAGCAACCATTCCAAGACCTAAAGGCGTGGATTTTTTTAAAGTATTTTTAGCAACCATTCCAAGACCTAAAGGCGTGGATTTTTTAAAGAATTTTTAGCAACCATTCCATGACCTAAAGGCGTGGATTTTTTTATGAATTTTTAGCAACCGCAAAAGCTAGGATTTTTTAAGAATTTTTAGCAGCCATTTAAAGAACAAAAGGCGTGGATTTTCTATGAATTTTTAGCAACCATTCCAAGACCTAAAGGCGTGGATTTTTTTAAAGAATTTTTAGAAACCATTCCAAGACCTAAAGGCGTGGATTTTTTTAAAGAATTTTTAGCAACCATTCCAGATTAAATATATATGGATTTTTTAAAGAATTTTAGCAACCATTCCAAGATCTAAAGGCGTGTAATTTTTAAAGAATATTTAGCAACCATTCCAAGACCTAAAGGTGTGGATTTTTTAAGAATTTTTAGCAACCATTCCAAGACCTATAGGCGTGGATTTTTATGAATTTTTAGCAACCATTCCAATACCTAAAGGCGTGGATTCTTTAAAGAATTTTTAGCAACCATTCCAAGACCTAAAGGCGTGGATTATTTATGAACTTTTAGCAACCATTCCAAGACCTAAAGGCGTGGATTTTTTTAAGAATTTTTAGCAACCATTCCAAGACTTAAAGGCGTGGATTTTTTTAGCAACCATTGGATTTTTTAAAGAATTTTTAGCAACCATTGGATTTTTTTAAAGAATTTTTAGCAACCATTGGATTTTTTTAAAGAATATTTAGCAACCATTCCAAGACCTAAAGGCGTGGATTTTTTTAAAGTATTTTTAGCAACCATTCCAAGACCTAAAGGCGTGGATTTTTTAAAGAATTTTTAGCAACCATTCCATGACCTAAAGGCGTGGATTTTTTTATGAATTTTTAGCAACCGCAAAAGCTAGGATTTTTTAAGAATTTTTAGCAGCCATTTAAAGAACAAAAGGCGTGGAATGAATTTTTAGAAACCATTCCAAGACCTAAAGGCGTGGATTTTTTTAAAGAATTTTTAGCAACCATTCCAGATTAAATATATATTCCTAAAATTATAACAGTTGCAAATGTGTTTTGATTTCAGTGAATTTAAATCCATCCAAAGGCGTGGCTAAAGGCCCCGTGGATTTTGTAAAAAAATTACATCAACTTAAACACCCAAAAGCGCCGATTTTTAAAAAATAATCAATTAATTCATATACCCAAATTCCAAGACCTAAAGGCGTGGACTTCTTTAAAGAATTTTTAGCAACCATTCCAAGACCTAAAGGCGTGGATTTTTTAAAGAATTTTTAGCAACCATTCCAAGGCCTAAAGGCGTGGACTTCTTTAAAGAATTTTTAGCAACCATTCCAAGACCTAAAGGCGTGGATTTTTTAAGAATTTTTAGAAATCATTCCAAGACCTAAAGGCGTGGATTTTTTTAAGAATTTTTAGAAATCATTCCAAGACCTAAAGGCGTGGATTTTTTTTAGAATATTTAGCAACCATTCCAAGACCATTTTGAGAGCCATTTGACCTTTCAAAGGCGTGTTTTTAAGAATTTTTACAATCACTTAAAGAACCAAAGGCATGGATTTAAAAAAAAATAGCAACCATTTTAAGACCCAAAGACATGAACTTGAAAAAAATTAGCAACCACTTTAAGGACCCAAAGGTATGTTAGTAACCATTTTAAGACCCATGATTTGGGTTCTATTATCCCCCAGAAACACACAAAATAAATATTTCAGATTTTGATTGTTTCCACACAAAATTAGTTCCTAAACTTAAGATTATATATTGGTTTAATTACAATAAAAAAAAATAAATTTAAAAGCACTATTTCGGTAATTTCCCCATCATACGAAACTGTTGCATTTGTTGGGCCTGTAACATTTTCTGATTTTGTAAATGTTGTTGGGCACCACCCTGAGACATTTGAGGCATTTGTCCGGCCATTGCGCCACCACCACCGCCCGGCATATTGGGCATCATACGTTGCTGCTGCTGTTGTTGTTGCTGTGGACCACCCATACCCATTGCAGCAGCTGCTGCAGCCGCCGCCGCTGCTGCTGTCGAAGCTCCTGATGGTCCAGCCAAACCAGCACCAGACTCTAAACCACCAGCACCCGGACCCACCGGACGATTTAATATGGCAGGATTTTGTTGTATATCGGATAAACAACTTTTCCATTCTTCCAAGCGGCTGTAGTGTTTATTCAATAACGCCTCCTTTCGTTGTATTTCAATGCGTAGATATTGATTTTCATCCTTAATCAATTGATCGGGTTTCAGGGTGGACACTAGGAATCGTTTTTGCAAAAAGAACGCTTCCATTTGCCGGGCAACATCAATGAAACGATTTGTGGTTTTCTGCACTTCCAGTTCAACTTCTTCCTTGTTGGTACCAGTATTGGCCTCCAACTTTGTCAGCGACAGCAGACAATTTTGAAAAGCTTCTTCGAATTCATCCATTAGATTGCCGTTTACATTCGATGATGAAGCCATTTGGAGGTTTCTTTCGTGTCCTAATAGCGGCTTCCTCAGCTTCCTAATTGCGAATAAATAAATTAAATAAATTATAAAATCACTAAAATGAATCTGTCGGAACCATTTTAAAATGACGAAGAAGGAGAATGAGTGCGAGAGTCTAAACACAACAAGAAGCTCTATAGTCAGCGACGGTCGTTTACCGGTCGTTTACCGTCAGCCGTTAGCGTCTAGCGGCTTGAAATCAGCTGTGTTACCAACATGGAAATTTATATCAAAACATATGGCTGTGCTGTTAAAAAAGGAAAATGTTTTAAAGATTATGGACGTTTTTCAACGAATTAATAATAAAATGGAAGAAAAATTTATGAGAGAGTCTAGAGTCAGCGACGGCAACGGGAAATCCCGACGGCTGTCGTTCACGTCTAGCGGCTTGACGCTGTAATTAATTATGGTGGACCAGAATTAATTAGAGGTAGAACACCCATTTTTAATATCTACAACTAGACTTTGGCATAACAAGCCACAAAAGAAAAATTTTAATTAACCCTTTGTGGCCCAATGTTGCCCACAGGCAACAAAATGTTTTAGAGCTTATATTTAATATGCAGCTAGTAGATATATATTATTTGGATTTAATATGTCAAGACCTGATTATGGACGACACACATCAAAAGAAAAATCAAAAAATAAATTCAACATATTGGTAATGTTATGAGCTTTTAAGTATAGAGAAGAGGGTAAATTTGTGTACAGTACTGATTTGTGTATACAGTCCAAATTATTTAAATCGCTTCGTATCCAAATTGTACGAACTATTTTTGATTCTTGTAAAAATAAATATAGAGAATAATATAAAATGATTTTTCTGTCGATTCTGCATTTGGTTTTCTTGATATTGGACTTTAATTTTTCCAAAAGAATGTACTGTATCTCCCGAATGCAAGGATGTATCGATGTCAATTTTTGTACATATCTTATTTAGGATAATTGCTGTAAATCTGTGAACTAAAATTTGTTCTAAAATTGCGGAAAAAAAATTCGGGGCTCAAAGGGTTAATAAGTAGCTATAGCCTACCTTGAATAATTGTATCATGCTTAAAAGTATCTAGATTTGCTTAATTTGGATTTTTGGCCATCAGCTTATTCCATAACCTGCAATAATCTTTTGTTAATCGATATTTCATCAAATTATTATTTCGTTTGTAGGTGTATAATAAAGAAATATGTTGATTTAAGAAAAAATAAAAGTGATTTTTTTTGTTTATAGGTTATGTCATATGTAAAATACATATGCCGATTTGAACACAAAAATAAATGTTTTGTGTACGCCGCTAATTTTGACACACATAAGGAATTACATATGGATGAAATAAGTGACAGCACATATGTAAAATACATATCGTGTAGAAACACCATAAGTGGTATAGGGCCGCAAACCATGCTATATATTTCCCCATCATTAAACGGTACAGACCGTTGGACTATCATGGACGTATTTTAACCAAAACTCAAAAACTAGTAAAACTTTAAAAATGTATAAAAAAGAAACTTTTTTGGAGGATTAGCCTTCTTTAGGAGGATTTATTTGACAAGTAAGTAAGGGAATTGACAATTAAAACCCCCCTGGTTTAACTAAATCCAGTACAATGTAGATGTACTACTGTTCATCGGCCTTGGAGGCTTTAGTATTATCTGATGAAATTAATACATAAATAAAAAATAGGAAAAACCCCTACACATATAACTGCTACAACAACAATTCTCGGTATCACATTTGACCCAATTTTCTACTTTTCATTTAACGATTAATTTTCCTTATTATTCAAATTCCATCACATTGCAAATGTGTAACCGCCAAAAAAACATGTCAGGGTAATTACATTACAACATGCCAACTCAACACATCCCACACACATCTGAGTACTTTGACATGTATACAACACTGTGCGTGTGTGTGCTAACTGAACACATCTCAATAACTCTCTATACCTGAAGCCTGTTTCTTCATTGGTTTTTGCGGCGTTCTTGCGATTATTTTCATCAAACATTTGCAAAAGTTATTAATTTTTATAAACAATTTTCGCAAGTAAAATTGCCGCATGAACAACAATCAAAATATTGGCAACATTTTCTAGTGCCTATGTTTGCCGCCAGCCGTGAATTAAATGCAGTAGAAAACGAAAAATCTAAGACGGGTAAAAAAACAAAGCACCAGAAAAGAAAAGTTGCTAATTCTACTACTCCCCGGCCCTATTAGATGTGAAAGAAAATTTAGTCTACATTTCTTCTTCATGTAAAAAAAAGAGTTGAATGTGCAGACGCGCTGCTGTCTACTTGAACAACACGAAGCAGGCCTGCAACATCATCATTATTTCGAAGAAGGAACGAATAAATAAATATAGGATAAGGAAGAAAACGCTACGTATATAATTGGAAGTCGAAGAAAAAAAAAAAAAACGGCGGAAGAAGCTTTTATTTTTCAAAACAAGGTGAGAATGGATTTTGTTGTATATTTGGTGTTACCGGGGTTCAATAATGATGAATGGTGGTGTTGTTGTGTTTCTGTTAGGCATGTTTAAGTTTGCACTGTTCACTGTAATATAATCTTGTAAGTCACTTTACACATAAAGATTAACTGTCTTTATTTTTTAAGAGCACGGATAAGCTACTAAACTATTTGGAGATTTAAATTAATTAATAAAACATTGGGATTTTTATAAAATAAAACTGTCACTAAATAATATAAAACCAAATCCAACAACAAAATTAATCCATTTAGAAATACCAACCATTGGTAATTAACAAAAGCCAAAATTGATCAATTTTGTTCAGGAATGCTTGTTGCTAATTCATCTGTAAATACTTTATATTGAAAATACATTATATGGATGTTGCAATGATGTAGGGGCTCAGGTTAATTTAAATTCATAGCCAAAAGGTAGCTCGTAAACTAAATTCTTATTCAATTCAATTTATTTTATAAACGAGAACCTAGCCCAAAGGGATTTAAATTGAATGAAACAAAATTATCTACCTATGATCACCTACCAAAAATGTTAGAAGTTTTTACCAGAGTTAGCTCTATTCTGCAGAGTGTACTTTATATGTTGTTTAAATATACGTCATTTTTTGGTGAGAAATTTACTTCTTGCGTGGAGTCTATATTACATTTTTCATTCCGATTGCAACACCTCTAAATATTCACAACAAAATCCCATGAAGTAAATAACGAGCTTGCGACTCCTATGAAGTTTTTATTGAAAATGGAATATAACGTTTACGTTTTGGTAAAGTTCCATAACGGTATACACTAATATTCGGTATTTGGTTCATAATATTGTTCTAGTTTTTCTAGGATAGCTCCCATTAAACTAAGTATTTGTATACCATCCACCATAGTAGGGGGGTATATTAATTTTGACATTCCATTTGTAATTCATCGAAATATTCATTTCCGAACTTATAAAGTATATATATTCTTGATCAGGGTAAAATTCTGTCCGTCTGTTGTAATCTTCTGAAGGAATTGAGATAGAATGCTGAAATTTTGCATATGTTTGTCTTTTGTCTGCCGGCAGGTCAAGTTCGAAGATGAGATATATCGGTCCACGTTTATGCATAGCTCCCATATAACGGTACCGCCCAATTTTCGGTATTTTGGGGTTCTTGAGCAACTTTCCAGCCGAATTCGCTGAAATTCGGTACATTGGGTTCCTATTGGGTACTAAATGTCTCCACAAAAAATTATGAATATAGGTTTACTCTTTCTGGTAGCCCCCATATAACGGAACCTCCTAATTTTCAGTATTTTGGGGGTTCTGACGTATATTTTCACCGAATTGGCTATAAATTAGTATTTTGAGTTCTTAATAGGTACCACTTCTTTCTACAAAAAATTATGAATATAGGTCAATTTTGGTTCAAAGAAACATTGTGTGTAGAACCAATATTTCGATGAGGTACATTTTCACCGCATCAAAGTGTATACGGCCGAACTTAACGCTTTTGCACTTATTAAGATTTTAATCGGGAGATTTGCTCCCCACCAAAAATCATTATCATTAAACCAAGTTTCCATATGATGTACCACCGATATTAGAGTCCCGATCGATTTTAGGTGTTTTGAATGTCTACCTAATGGTGGAGGGTATAAAAAAATCAACATGACTGAACTTAAGTCACTTTACACATAAAGATTAACTGTCTTTATTTTTTAAGAGCACGGATAAGCTACTAAACTATTTGGAGATTTAAATTAATTAATAAAACATTGGGATTTTTATAAAATAAAACTGTCACTAAATAATTTAATACCTAATCCCACTACAAAATTAATCCATTTAGAAATACCAACCATTGGTAATTAACAAAAGCCAAAATTGATCAATTTTGTTCAGGAATGCTTGTTGCTAATTCATCTGTAAATACTTTATATTGAAAATACATTATATGGATGTTGCAATGATGTAGGGGCTCAGGTTAATTTAAATTCATAGCCAAAAGGTAGCTCGTAAACTAAATTCTTATTCAATTCAATTTATTTTATAAACGAGAACCTAGCCCAAAGGGATTTAAATTGAATGAAACAAAATTATCTACCTATGATCACCTACCAAAAATGTTAGAAGTTTTTACCAGAGTTAGCTCTATTCTGCAGAGTGTACTTTATATGTTGTTTAAATATACGTCATTTTTTGGTGAGAAATTTACTTCTTGCGTGGAGTCTATATTACATTTTTCATTCCGATTGCAACACCTCTAAATATTCACAACAAAATCCCATGAAGTAAATAACGAGCTTGCGACTCCTATGAAGTTTTTATTGAAAATGGAATATAACGTTTACGTTTTGGTAAAGTTCCATAACGGTATACACTAATATTCGGTATTTGGTTCATAATATTGTTCTAGTTTTTCTAGGATAGCTCCCATTAAACTAAGTATTTGTATACCATCCACCATAGTAGGGGGGTATATTAATTTTGACATTCCATTTGTAATTCATCGAAATATTCATTTCCGAACTTATAAAGTATATATATTCTTGATCAGGGTAAAATTCTGTCCGTCTGTTGTAATCTTCTGAAGGAATTGAGATAGAATGCTGAAATTTTGCATATGTTTGTCTTTTGTCTGCCGGCAGGTCAAGTTCGAAGATGAGATATATCGGTCCACGTTTATGCATAGCTCCCATATAACGGTACCGCCCAATTTTCGGTATTTTGGGGTTCTTGAGCAACTTTCCAGCCGAATTCGCTGAAATTCGGTACATTGGGTTCCTATTGGGTACTAAATGTCTCCACAAAAAATTATGAATATAGGTTTACTCTTTCTGGTAGCCCCCATATAACGGAACCTCCTAATTTTCAGTATTTTGGGGGTTCTGATCGTATATTTTCACCGAATTGGCTATAAATTAGTATTTTGAGTTCTTAATAGGTACCACTTCTTTCTACAAAAAATTATGAATATAGGTCAATTTTGGTTCAAAGAAACATTGTGTGTAGAACCAATATTTCGATGAGGTACATTTTCACCGCATCAAAGTGTATACGGCCGAACTTAACGCTTTTGCACTTATTAAGATTTTAATCGGGAGATTTGCTCCCCACCAAAAATCATTATCATTAAACCAAGTTTCCATATGATGTACCACCGATATTAGAGTCCCGATCGATTTTAGGTGTTTTGAATGTCTACCTAATGGTGGAGGGTATAAAAAAATCAACATGACTGAACTTAACGACTTTTTTACTTGTTTTATATTCATAGCACGAGAAAAATATGATTATACAGATTTAAGGTTAGTTTATTTTAGATTATCGGGAGATTTGGTCTCTAGCAAAAAGTAGCTACATTAGCCCGTGTTTTTCCTATATAAAGTCATCCCCACTTTCTGTATTTTGAGCATAATCTTAACCGAATTGACTACAATTTTAGTTGTCTTGAATGTCTACCTCATGGTGGATGGAAAAATTGGTCTTGCCATACTTATCTCTGATACAACGAAATTGTGTCTCATCGAAGTATGGATTTGGATTCCAATGTATTTGGACAAAATCACTTTCAGACAATTCTGAGTAGATTTGATACCTGCCTGCATTGTTGGCTTTTGTTCTCGACAACTTTTGGACGGAGTAACCGATTTGAACAAAAACTTTGCTTTAATATTTTTTCAAAATAAAAAAGATATTTGTAGGTGGTAAATATCGTTTCAATTCCCCCTACTTTTAAAAATTAAAATAATTTGTGTTTCAAATCGGTACGAACCTTCAATATTGTGGCTATGTTAAAATATGAAACCCCTTTGAAAAAATTATTGTAAAGTAAATTATGACCAAATTATTCAGTAAATGGTCCATGCCATTATATGAACATTTTCTACCGGATACTACGCTAGCAGTTGTATTAAAATATCGACCGATCGTTGCGATAATGGCTCCGATGGCTACTTGCAAAATATGCAAAGGAATTCATGATTAATATATTATATTAGTACCATTTTCCGTAGGTCCTCAGAAGCATAAATTTATTTGGTCATTAATCAACTGCTTATGCAATTTTCAATTTATTCTCTCCAAAAAATATTCTACTAATTTTGTATATAATTCGCTTATATCCTCTATCCAAATAAAATACAACAAAAATAACTAACACAAATCTTTTTTGTTTTCTTGTTTTTCTCCCTCCCTCTTTTGCCATTGCAGTTGCTATCAACTTTCAACATTGACTGATTTTTTTGTTTTGTAATTTTTTAATTTATTATCAAATCTGGACATTTCCAAACGACAGTAATTTAAATGGGCAAAGGTAAAACGGATACAGAACCTATTTGTCCAAGTGAACAAAATGATGTCGGAGACAAATCTCTAAACGATAAAGAAAATTATATTGAAAAGGAGAAAACGTCACAAGCTAATCCAGTCATAAAGGTGCGGAAGGATATAGCAAAAGACGACGAGGTATTGGAGGATGAGAATACAAATGATAGCCATACCAGCAGTACAAATTCAAATACCAATAAATCATCCACCTCCAGTACCTCAGCGAACAAAAAAGATAATAGCAGCAGCATCAGCACAAACGACGACAACAACATAAAGTCGTCGACGGAAGCAAAGGATTCCACGACGGCAACAGATTCTAAAGAAACACAATTTCGCATAGCCTCCAATAATACAACAGAATTTAAATTACGCATTGTACCTCTAGAAAAATTGCTTGAAAGGCCTCCTGCTCCGACTACAAATTCCTCAACGGCTAGCAAAAAACCATCGACAGAAAACGTTTCTTCAAACAAAACCAAAAGGGATAAGAGAAACGATTTAGCCAAGGAAACAAGTAGACGTCTACCACAAAGAAGATCTAAACCCATATCATTTATAGAACTATCCGACACAGAAGAAGACGAAGAATTGATAATTTCCTCCTCCTCCGACGAGGAATCAAAGAAAAATAAAAAGGTAACAAAAACAGAGGCTTCAAAAAAGAAAACTGCAAAAAATACCTCAGATTCTGAAGAAGAGGATAAAAAAGATTCGGAAAAAGAGGTCACGAATCGCACAAGAAAAACTAAAACTAAATCGAATAAAAAATCCAAAAAATCATCATCCTCGGAATCTGAGAAAGAGAGCAAATCCTCAGAGGAGGAAGAAGTAGAAAAAAGAAGGGATTCAGAGGAGCGTTTAAAATCGAAAAAGGATTTGTCATCCAACGATAAAACGAAAGCAGAGAATAGCGAAAAAGACGCGAAGTCATCCAAAGATAATTCAGAAGCGCAGGAAGACAACAAGGAATCGACAAATAAAGCCAAAAGAAAACGTTCACCAGAATCAGCGGCAGTTGTTGTCGAAGCCAAACGAAAAGCCTTAGAGAAAAAGAAACATTCTGATACCGAAGACGACGACGACGTAGAAGACAAACCTCTCAAAAAAACCGCCGCAACCAATAAGAAGACAAGTAAAAAGGGAAAATCAAAACAAACCGCTCCTGCACCACCCCCATCTCCCTCTTCGGTTAGGCGTTGTGTGGTCCGCTTAAAACGCAGCAAGCTTTCCGATTTTAAAGATCTTAACAAAAGTAAATCGAAGCGTAAAATGAATGGTGGTGCATCTCGCTCCGAAAGACCCTCAACATCATCTGCCCGCCGAAGAAATATCATATCAGACGAAGATTCTGATGTTAGTTACAAACGATCTGGAAATATTGATGAACGTCTTGCCGATCACGATTACGATGGCCATGACTTAGACGAAGACGAGGAGGATAATGATAGCCAAAAAAGTAGTGATAGCGAAGTTATACCAACACGCAAGCGGCGTGTTTTCCAAAAGAACAAAAACGATGAGTCAAATGCCTCAGATTCGGACTTTGAGCCGAAGCCTAAAGATAAGAAGAAAAAACGGCGTATACAACGTAATTCAAGCGGTGATTCGGATGATGATGAAGATGGCAAAAAGAAGAATGTCAAACGTAAGGATATTCGTAAAATTATCAAGAGTGATGATTTAAATTTGAGCACAAAAGAAGCGGCCAAGGAGGAAGAAGAGCGTCGCAAACGTATCGAAGAGCGTCAAAAGCTTTATAACAAAATCTATGTGAAGCCTGAAAGTACTGAGGTCACAGAGCTTGTGCTGGATTTCGATACGGAGACGAAGAAGGCAATTCTTGAGGTAGATAAGGGGCTGGTGAAGAAGCTGAAACCACATCAAGTGACGGGAGTTAAATTCATGTGGGATGCCTGCTTTGAAACGGTGAAAGATGCTCAAGAGAAACCAGGTTCTGGGTGTATTTTGGCCCATTGCATGGGTCTGGGTAAAACTATGCAGATTTGTACCCTCTCACACACACTGCTGGCCAATTCGAACAAGACTAATGTTGAAAGGGTTTTGATTATTTCACCACTCAGTACCCTGAATAACTGGGCTAGGTAAGGTATTATTTGGATCTAAGATTTAAATATGAGTGTTTCCTATGACATTATGAAATCTAACGATGTTCTTTTCCTCAATTCGCAGGGAATTTAAACAATGGATTGGTTTCACCAAAAAACGCAACATTGAAATATACGATATGTCAAAATATAAAGACAAAGCAACCCGGATTTTCAAACTAAATGAATGGTTTGAGGAGGGTGGCGTTTGTATCATGGGCTATGATATGTACCGTATATTATCGAATGAAAAGGCCAAAGGATTGCGTAAAAAACAGCGGGAACAACTACTGCAATCCCTGGTTGACCCCGGCCCAGATATGGTTGTTTGCGACGAGGGACATTTGTTGAAAAATGAAAAGACTTCGATCAGTAAGGCCGTGACACGTATGCGCACAAAGAGACGTATTGTTTTGACCGGTACACCTTTGCAAAATAATCTCAAAGAGTGTAAGTACCTTGATTATATTTCATTTATAGAACAAATTAAAATTTATTTCTCTTTTTTTCGCTTCCAGATTATTGCATGATACAGTTCATCAAACCAAATCTTCTGGGTACATACAAGGAATATCTTAATCGTTTTGTAAATCCCATTACAAATGGACAATATACCGATTCAACAGATCGTGATATCCGTCTAATGAAACATCGTTCGCATATCTTACACAAACTGTTGGAGGGTTGTATTCAACGACGTGATTATTCGGTGCTGGCGCCGTATTTGCCACCAAAACATGAATACGTGGTCTATACCACACTCTCAGATCTACAACAATTGCTGTACGAACATTATATGGTACATCAGCGTGATCTAAGCTCAAATGTCGAGGGGAAAGGCGCTAAGCTGTTTCAAGACTTTCAAGAGTTACGTCGCATATGGACACATCCGATGAATATGCGCATCAACAGTGATTCGGTGATACGTAAACGAGTGTTGGCCGATGAAAATGAGTCTATTGAAGATTTTATATGTGACGATGATAACGAAGAGGAAGCAGCATCTTCGTCGGATAGTTCAGATGAAAATTCGATTAAATCATTTGGTAGTGGTGGTGCTCCAGCAGCAGGGGCGGCATCGGGAAAAGTTCCCAAAACTCGTAATAATCGTCGTCTTGCCAAAGAAGCCGGTGAGGATGTTGATAGTGATATTGAAGAGGTGCCACCGCCACCCCAAGATGATCCATCGGAATGGTGGAAACGTTTTGTTGCCGACAAAGAACTAAATAATATAAATCATTCCCCTAAATTGGTAATACTGATGCGTCTATTGGAACAGTGTGAAGCTATTGGTGATAAACTATTGGTATTTTCACAATCTCTACAAAGTTTGGATACCATCGAACATTTTTTGTCATTGATCGATAGTAAAACAAGAGGTTATGAATATGAGGGTGAGTTTTTACATATTTGTTTTTAGTCGAACAAGAATAGATAATTGCATCTAACAAGTCCTAATACGCTTTCTATCCATAGAATAAATGGAAAAGTATTTCGAGAAGTCTCTAGAGCTCTTTTATTGTTTAAAGCCAGTCAGGAGTTGTTCTGTCTATACTAGACCATCAAGGCTGAGGAAGATCATAAAGCCCCGCAAAAAATATTCGAAGAACTCCCTAAGCGTTTAAGGCTCTAATAGTATTGCAAAAAAATATGTTTAAAAATTCCAGCCTAGGCCTTTAAGAAACCCCTGCCCAAAGTCCTAGTAGTGTCGCAGAAAATTATTTTAAAAAAATCCCCGCCTAGGCATCTAAGAGTTCATAAAAAATCCCCACGTAGGCCTAATAGGCCGTCAAAAAATTATTAAAAAAATCTACGCCTAGGCCTCAAATAGTCCGTCACAAAATTATTTAAAAAATCCACGCCTAGGCCTCTAATAGTCCGTCACAAAATTCTTTTAAAAAAAATCTACGCCTAGGCCTCAAATAGTCCGTCACAAAATTATATAAAAAATCCACGCCTAGGCCTCTAATAGTCCGTCACAAAATTATTTAAAAAAAATCTACGCCTACGGCCTAATTGGCCGACACAAAATTATTAAAAAAAAATCCAAGCCTAGGACTCTAATAGTCCGTCACAAAATTATTTAAAAAAGTCTACGCCTAGGCCTCTAATAGTCCGTCACAAAATTATTTACAAAATCCAATCCTAGGTCTCTAATAGTCCTAGGCCTCTAAGAATTCCTAAACAAATCCCCATGTCCTATAATAGTCCGCCTCAAAATTTTTTTTAAAATATCCAGGCCTAGGCCTTGAATAGCCTGTATAAAAATATTTATAAAAATCCACGCATAATCCCGCCAAAATATAAGAATCGCCAAAAAATATTAAATAAATCGCCACCTGGGCCTCTAATAGTCCGCCAAAGAATAACTTCAAAAACTCCAGCAAAAAAAAATCCTTTAAAAATCCCTTCGTAGGTCTCTAAGAATCCATCTCAAAATGATTAGAAATACCTAGGCACAAGGCTTTAATAGTTCCTCAAAAACATATTTAAAAAATCCACGCCTACGGCTCTAAGAGACCGTCAAACAATTATTTGAAAAAGCCCCCACTTAGACCTCTGAAGTGTGCGTCCACAAAATAATTTAAAAATCCATGTCTAGGTCTTTAAGAGTCCATCAATTCTTGTTTAAACTCATGATTAGGCCTCTAAGAGCGTTTTAAAAAAATATTTGAAAATATTTCGGCTCAAAATGCTCTAATAACTGTTCTCATAATTGTGAAATTTTTAAACATCATACTAATTTTTATTTCATTCTTTATTTCATTTTCCAGGTGACGTTGGCGAATTTCGTGGCTTTTGGACACCTGGCACCGACTATTTCCGTTTGGATGGTTCATGTTCGGTGGAACATCGTGAGGCAATGTGTAAGAAATTTAACGATAATACCAATTTACGGGCACGCCTATTTCTCATTTCAACGCGAGCCGGTGGTCTGGGTATCAATTTGGTATCCGCCAATCGTGTTGTCATTTTCGATGTTTCGTGGAATCCGTCACACGATACCCAAAGTATTTTCCGTGTTTATCGTTTCGGGCAAGAGAAACCTTGTTATATTTATCGTCTGATTGCAATGGGTACCATGGAACAAAAACTCTACGAACGTCAGGTGGCAAAACAGGCCACAGCTAAACGTGTCATTGACGAACAACAAATATCACGTCACTATAATCAATCGGATCTGCAGGAACTCTATACATACGAATTGAAACCAAGTACAGCTCGAGAAATACCAATATTGCCTAAAGATCGTCTATTTGCCGAATTGTTGACACAACATGAAAGTCTATTATTCAAATACCATGAACATGATTCGCTGTTGGAAAATGAGGAAAGTGAGAATCTAAGTGCCGACGAACGAAAAGCGGCCTGGTCAGAATACGAGGCCGAAAAGACACGTACCATACAAACGGCCCAATATATGTCATACGATCGTACAGCCTATGGTCAATTTGGTAATAGTTCGGGCAGTGTTACATCGAATAAAATCTTCGGCTTTCGTTCTGATGTTCTGTTGCAGTTACTCAATTTGAAAATAGCCAAGGATCATCCGGAGATGACACAAAATCAAGTAATACAGGTAGTACCGACATACTTGAATCTGCTCTATAGTCAAATGAATAATGGTGATCCAACAATGTATAAGGATTTGTTGGCAATTCATGCAACACTGGTTCATCCCAGTGGTATGTATATGAATCCATTGTTGTATGTTAATCAAAATCCATCGGCAGCGGGTTATTATCAAGCGGGAGCAGCTAATGGTGGTGGTGCTGCAGCGGCTGGAGCACCGGCGGCGGGTGGTCCTCCTGCTGCTGCTGGTGGTGCCGCACCAGCAACCACACCAGCTGTTGGTTTTGATCCAAATGAAGTTTATGAAATTGATTAATTATAATTTATTCTCTGCTGCTGGGAAAAAACACAACACTTAGACTAGGGAACAGTATATTCAAAGTAAAAAGAATTAATTTTCTTCATAATTTTCAGTTTCAATTACATATTATTTTTATTTCATTTCATCACAATTTCATGTTAATGTTTCCTGTTTCCCCGCGAATGAATCGTTATTCCTTCCATAAACAAAAAAGATATACTAAAAAATATGTTCCCTTAAAAATGTGATTATTTTTTTATATATTATATATATATTTTTTTCTTTTGCTAAACAAAATTAAATGTATTTAGCCAAGGGATATTGAGATTAAATGATTTGATGAACAAATCAAACATTTTTCAAATATAAATTGAAACATAAATCCAAACTCATCTGTGCAGATTTTCGCGAATGGGACAACCCTGATTTAGAAGGGGAAATCTACACAGGTCCATCAAATGTTCATTGAATAAACATATAGTTTATTGAATAGTAGAACATTTATTTAAAGAAGATAACTTTGAAACAACATAAATTGATTATTAAGGGGGAAACACATAAGACAACTTTCAGGCTTGGCATGTTAAGTTGGCTCTTTGAACGGCGCCCAAATTCAAGTTGTACTCTGATATTCCTTTATAAATTTACATTTCGTACGAAGCCAACTTAACAGGGCAGGCCTGAATCCTCGTATGTGTTTTCCCCTTTACAATTTGGATCTATGATTCAAAATTTAAAGTTGTTTTCTTACTAGATTAAAATTTCAAAGAAATTCTCAAAATGTATGATTTAATCATCTCTCTTCTTTTAATCTCGATATTCGATATATAGTTATCCCACATTCTAAAGCCATGCTTTTCCTATCAGACCTCAGTTTTCCGAGTCTTGGGTTTGTTTCCTAATAGACCCAATCATACCAAACACCACTTGCAGATGTTGTATTTTCAGGTGTAACTTTTTTTAATTGGACTATTTCGATAATCATTTTTGTTTTCGTTTTGTTTTTCTTGTGTTTAAAAAATACAGCTATTTCCCAATTTTTGTGCGAGTAGTAAAAAAAATATTCAATTGAAATTTATATTTTATTTTTTTTTTTCAAAATTTATAATTTTGTATTATTTTTTAAATTACAAAATATAATAAAATAAGAAATATATTTCTCCTTAATTTCTCAATCCTAAAAAAAACATCTGAAAATACAACACAAGCATTTCACATTCTTCCGCCTCAATTTTCTCCTTGACCCCCCACGACATGACTTCAAACATCTTTTCCATCCATTCATTCCCCCACCACCACTACCACTTCTTATCATCAATCAAATATTATTCAAAATGTATTCATCATTAAAAAATAAGTAACATAACTAATATTACTTATATTTAATTAAAAAAATAATAATAACAAAACACAGTGTTTAAGTTGATTTTTTAGAAGCTAATCTCTGTTTCTTATAGCAGTAGTGATATCTTTAATGTATACCTATATTTATAAATATATATTTTTGTTTATATATTGATTACATATTATAAAAAAGAAAGAAAAAAGAAACAAAAAAATGAGAAGAGAGAAAAATCTCTTTAAAAAAATATTATTTTAATCTCGTGTTTTAAGCAAACAACAAACTAAAAACAAAAATCTTTAAGCATAAACTATATAATAATAATATACACAACAAAAAACAACCTAAATCCAAAATAGCAAAGCGATGTGTCCTTCAAAAGGGATGAAGAATTAAAAAAAGTAAATAAACAAACAATAATAATAAGAAGAAGAATACTGAAGCTATTAACATTTGATTTTTAGTTCACAACCTCCTCCTATGAAAATAAGTTATACATATATTCATATACATGAAATGATGCAACAATAAATACATATAATAATACCGGATATCACACATATTAACACTCACAAGAAAAAACGAAATACACTTATAAATTAATTAAAAAAAAAACGAAAAAAAACGGAATAAAAATGGAAAAATGAAAAGAATAATAATAAACGATATAATTCACACACACACCCACTCACTCAATAAACCGGAAAAAGTATCCCCCCAAAAATAAGTGACACCAGAATCATTTAGTAATAATAAACGAAAATATATAAAATGTTTGTTATTTAATGTTAATTCTGAAGGACTTATCATAGAGTAATGTGATAAAGTATTGACCGGTCAATAGGTTTGTATAATATGCTAGGTTTTTTTTTAAGATTGATCTATTACTCAACCAATGTCGGGCAAAGATTTTCAAATATGCACCACATGGCTGCGGATTTTTTCGGAAATATTGAGCTTAGTCCAAAAACAGAGACAAATTTGGATATCAGACGATTTCTCAAAGAGGAGGGGAAATTAAATTGCAGATGAACAACAACTATATCAATTCAGCCTCCATGAAGAAACATCCGACAACGGCTGCTAACTACCGAACATGGCAGTTAGCAGCATCAAATTCAAGCATCTCTGGATCTCTCCTGATCAAGCAACGAGAAATCAAATTTACCATGTTGTGATAGACTGACGGCATTCGTCCAGTGTTTAAGAATTTCGATCGATACGAGAAGCTAATATCGATTCGGTCCATTATCTTGTGGCAGCAAAGGTTCGCACCCGTCTTAATGTAGCAGCAAAGGTGCGATCTAATGTAACACGGAAACTCGACGTCTAAAAGCTGCAAACCCAACAGCTAGCAGAGGCCTACTCCGCTCAACTTACCCACCAGATTGACGAAAGCACTTCTTGTCCCGATAATAGTATAGAAGCACAATGGCAAAGAATTGCCCACACCCTACAAACTGCAGCAAAAGCATCACTTGGGTACCAAAAACCACCATCAAGAAACCCATAGTAGGATCAGGAGTGTCGTAATGCAGACAGTAGCAACACGTAACGCGATGGAGAATTATCGGGTGAAAAGGAGAGGGGAGAAACGTGTTTTCAGAAAAAAGAAGAAAGGACAAGAAAAACGTGAGCGTGAACAAATCGAGATGTACAGGAGTCAGAATGAAGTACGAACATTTTACCAACGAGTAAAACACCAAACCGAAGGCTTTGTTGCAGGCACATCCTCCTGTTGAGATGAAGAAGGAAACCTGGTGACCGATACAGACAGCGTGTTGAGAATCTGGAAGGAGCATTTAGAAACGTTTCTGGTATCAAAAAAAGTGGCGGTGAAGAAGATACCCCAGAACCGATGAGATATGACAGTATAGAGTGTTTATCACCTAGCCAAGATGAGGTCAGAGTAGCAATTAATCGGCTGAAGAATAATAATAAATATAATAATAAAGCAGCAGGTGTCGATGGCCTATCAGTCGAACTATTCTGATACTACCCGTGCTGTTATATGGATCTGAAGCATAGAAGAGGCAGCTCGTGGAGTGTTTGAAAGAAAAATTCTCCGAAAGATCTAAGGCGCGGAACTGCGTCGACGGTGAATATCGGCGTCGAATGAACCACGACCTTTACAATTTATACGCGGACATTAGACATAGTCTGTCGTATTGAGCTGCAGCGACTACGTTGGCTAGGCCATGTTGTGCGAATGAATAAGAATGTCCCAGCTCAAAAGGCATATAAAAGCGAGCCTACTGATGGTTCCCGCAGAAGGGGAAGGCCACGAATTAGATGGAAAGACCAATTAGAAGACAAAATCTTGGAACGTGGTCTTTCAATTGGCGTGTGGAACAACCGTTCTGTAACAATCCATTTAAGTAAGTATGTAATAATGGTGGGCTACCCACAATGATGAAAAGATCCAATAGTATGGAGAGAACATTTCAAAGTAATCAGAAACACCAGAAACGCCACTGAATATGTAGTGTAACCTCTCATATATATAGTGTAATTGAGTAAAATAAAAGAGGCAATACAGCGACTAAAAAGCTGGAGAAGATGATTTACCGAAGACAAAACCACAGCTGAGTTACTTCGACATCACATCATATCAGCTTGAAAGGAAGAAAGACTGCCTCCGTCGGAGAAAAGAAGTATCGTTGTGAAGTTACTGAATAATTCTGTAACAACTTGTAAATAACCCTGTTCAACACCATATACATAATTCTGGCAACCATAATGCTTTCAGATCGTAATTGTGTGAAGAAGCCACACTACGAACCATAATAGAACAGTTTAATAGGAAGCCGCAACACTCTGAATCTACTGATCATAGATTTCAAGAAAGCCTTCCATAACATCAGGTGGATTACTCTGTATTGCGATGAGAAAGCTAAATGCGTTAAGAGTACAATTTGCTACTCTTATATCACTAACGCAAACGCATTCGAAAAATAAATCGAAAATAAGGCAACACGGCGCCACAAAGTAAACAAAAACGAAGAATGACAAAAGGAAACATCAACAGATTTTAAACCTTTGTGGCCCAATGTTGGCCACAGGCAATAAAATGTTTTAGAGCTTATTTTTAATATACAGCTAGTAGATATATATATATATATATATATATTATTGGGATTTCATATGTCAAGACCTGATTATGGACGACACATATCAAAAAAATTCCAAATGTTGGTAAAATTATGAGCATTTCAATACAGAGAAGAGGATAAAATTGTGTACAGTACTAATTTGTGTATACAGTCTAAATTATTAAAATCGCTTCGTATTCAAATTGTACGAACTCTACCCATCAGAATTATTTTTTATTCTTGTAAAAATGAATATAGAGAATAATTTAAAAAGATTTTTCTGTCGATTTTGCATTTGGTTTTCTTGATATTGGACCTTAATTTTTCCGAAAGAATGTACTGTATCTCCCGAATACAAGGATGTAGCGATGTAAAATTTTGTGTATATCCTATTTAGGATTGTTGCATTAAATCTATGAACAGAAATTTGTTCTAAGATTGCGGAAAAAATTCGGGGCTCAAAGGGTTAAATAAAAACTTATTTTTGTGCGGTCCGAGTGCTTTAAAAAACAATTATGCATTCGGTTGCATTATGATTAGAATGAGAATGATGAACGAATTAAAAAAAATTAAGAGATCGGTCAAATATATTCTCCCTAAGTGACCACGGGTATGAAAATAGAAGTACGAATTATGTGACAATCGTTTTCAAATATTTAATTTTTATAGATTTATAAAAAATTTTCGTCTTAATAAAGATGTGTTTATGTATGTATTAAGCGCTATTAAAAACGACTTCGTGGTTCCATGTAGATCCACAGTAATTCTAACTCCTATAAAAGTGGCCGCTGCTTGGACAAGGATTTTAGGATTATCACAGCAATCTATCAGACCTAACCTGTAAATATGCACACATAGTTCGTTTCACATTTTATATAAAAAATATAAGACATTACTTTTTCCAAACAGTGACATCTCTTACAGGAGGTCCATTTGAATTGAGGTCATCAGTACACAAATTGTTGCTGCGTTGGTTCGCATTTGAACTCTGCAACTGTCCCTTTGCAAATGGCTGTGTTGGTGTAACATAAAATCTACTAAAATTTGGAAGTGACGTTGCTGAGTCGGTAATTTTTTGACTTTTCCCTAAATAATTAACCATTTAGATATAAATAAAAACCTTTAATTGTGCTTACTTACATGTTTCGCTTCATTTGCGTTTAACAACTCGTTCGTTAAACGCATACATACGTTTTTATATTACAGAGTGCAGTGATGCCACACTTGCGTAAAGTAGATGCGAAAGGAGATACGAAAACGAATTAGAGAGTAAGAATTATTTGATCCGATACAATTTTTCTTACGTATCGAACCTCCCAGACGAACTGCCATGTGGGAAGTATTAATTTATGGAGTAAACCAGAAAATAATCCGAATAATAACAGCGGTGTACGAAGATGCAGAACTCTTAGTTCTTCGCAACGGGAACCGTAAGCCAACCGTTTTGCATCAAAGCAGTTGGCTTACGGTTCTGTCACCCCCACTGTTCATCTCTCACGACCATTCACACGAAAACTTAGATTATGCGGATGATCTCTCACACTAGATTTCGAACATACAGTTAAAATTATGTAGAAGACCTGGAGAGGCTGCTTCGCAATGTTCAATTTGAGATTAATATCAAGAAAACTAAGGTCATGCAAATTAAGAAGACCACCAGTGCGCAAAAGAAAATACAAGGCCAAGCTTTTTTTCGAAAGCTTCTGTTATCCAGAAAACACTGTAACTACAAGTGGCTGGAGCAACTCACATATATTCAGGAAAACCAATCATAAAAAATCATAAATAACGTGGAGTTGTGGAACTCAACAAACCAGGAATCCTAAACCACATGTAAATCGAGGACTAAACCATAACTTAAGGTGTCAGAAGCCAATCATGCCATACAGGTTGGAACGTTGGATAATTAATTATATGTGTGAATGCCAGTCTTACGTGGAGTTCCGCAATTAGAAGTTCAAACCCCGTTGAATTTGAGTGAAAAATTACCTTAAAAGAAACTATGCTTGCGTGGAGGTCATAAAAATGATGCATAATGTCAACGTTCAAACTTTATAATAAAAATGACGCTGTATTTTTTCCCATCGAGAGAAAACCAAAATCGAAACCTACAGACTGAAATTCACAACCCATCATAAATAAAACAAATATCCAATTATTATTTTTTGACAATTTTTCAATGGTATGTATTATCATTTTATTTTTATTTGTATTATTGTAATTTAAATCTAAAAAATCTATTCATACTAATTAAGTTATGTAAGAAATTGAATTCTGTTTGATATATTATTTAACTCAAATGTGTGTGGGTATTATTATGTATAATAATTTAAATAAACATTTCAAATACAAATTATTTGTATTTTTTTAGCATTAAGTATTAGATGTTTAAAAAAAAAATGAACATGTTGGGTGAGGCTGATTTTTTAATGTATGTATTGATGTACATATGTATGTTAGTATGGTATGTGAGAGCAGTGCAAATTGTCGTTACAAAGCTACAATGTGTATATGAACTTTTTAAAGTGTTTGCGAATATGATGAGGGCCAGAGTTTTATGCTATGTATATATATTGTGTAGTAGTTTTTAATTATTATAATCAAATATTAATGCTAAGTTTTTTTTTATATTACATATATATTTATCATATGTACAGAGGGGCTAAGTTGAGTGGATATGGGGGAAGAAGCTGTAATCAATGTTTCATTTTACGCTTGGCGTAATTATTAATTACTTTTAATAACGTGATATAATCGCGTTGTATTTTGTTTTGTTCTGTTCTTTTGTCTTGTCTGAAGTATTACAGAAAAGTGTAAAGTAAAAAAAAAATAATTTGTGTGATTCTTTTTTTAAATCAAATGCGGTTATTTAAACATTTGCATCACTTGATGATGTAGTGGACGAAGGTGATGATATTTTCAAAATATTCGCCTGTGTTTGAATGTTGCCCGGAGTTTGTTGCTGTTGTTGTTGGTCTTTAGCTTGAGCTAATGAAACCATTTTAAAATTCTGCAGTGTTTTAAGATTTAAATTATTTGGTGATAGAAATATTTGACCACCACCTTGCACCGCGAGGACAACACGATTTGAGGTGGCTGCTGTACTACCGCTTGCAGATGTTTTTAGTGTTGCATTCTAAAATAAAAAATAACATATGGAATTATTAATAAATGACAAATATTGATATCGTTTTAATAAAACACCCTACCTGCTGATTTGTATTTATTATGACATTTTTATTTGTTGTTTGTCCCGTCGAGGAGGACTGCAGTCGCAATGTTTGCCCACCGCCAGTTCCAAAAAGTATAGTCTTCGGTGCAGTGGCTGTTGTTGTTCCAGTGCCACCCGTTTCTGTGTTATTGATGATTTTATTATTAATCACATTTCCTGTTGTTAGGCGATTACCAGATGCCGTAACAATTTGTGGCATTTGTTGTACGCGCAGTATTTGATTACCCATAATAACAGTTTGCAATTGTTGACCCGTACCAGTGTTAGTGCCACTACTGCTGCTGCTGCTGTTTGATTGATTTGAGGTGGCTGGCTGTTGTTGCTGTTGGGCTGTTACTATGCTGCCACTTCTATTTAGCAGTTGTTGGATGTTGGTCTGAAAAATTTATTGTAAAAATCATTTTTAAAAAATTCCGGAACAGAGATTCTACGAGAAGATTTATTAATGGAAATTTGATGAGAAAACCTTCTACAGGGATGTTAAGAGAAGAGCTTTTCCTAGCAAACCTACAAAAGGACTTCAAACAGGTATTATGGTGGTTTATAACCTATCAAAAGCCATGACAAGCTGTTCGAGAACATAGGGATATAACCACCGGCCTTGTTTGAAACGTAGAAAATTCACCGGACGGTATAGATATCGTAATGTATGCGGATGGCTGTACGATAGTGGCGTCGGATACCAATATTGCTGACACCTGTTAGAGGAGAAACGTATACATAGCAGATCTTTTAAATTTCTTCCATCTGAGGAATATGAAAATTTCCGTCTCCAAATCCACACCAACACTGTCCACGATTTTAACGACTAAAATGAAGCTCGGATGGACATGGTCGATGGTGAATAAATTGCGATCATTAATTGCCCCCAAAATATTGGGTGTAACGTTTGACATTCCACAATCGCCGGACGGCATAGATATCGTTAAGTATGGGGATGGCTGAATCGAATCGAATTCCAATATTGCTGATTTTTGTTAGAGGATAAACGTCTGCATAGTGGATCTAGTTTTAAGTTTCTTCCGCGTAAGGAATATGAAAATATTCGCCACCAAATCCACAACCATACTGTTCACCACTTGGACGACTTGAATTAAGCCCAAGCTGATCATAATAGTCAATGGAGAATATATTCCGAATACAAATTACCATAAAATGTTGGGTATAACTTTCGACAGCCTTTTCAATGCCTCTGTACATGTTACAGATATTTGCGATGAGAAGCAGGAACTAGGTTCCTCAAGTCATTGGCCGGTTTCACTTGGGTCGTTGACAAGTATACATTTTTGTCTCGTATAAAGCAATAGGTCGTCAGTGGTAAGGTATGCGGCGTTAGTTTGGTATTCGAATGTAAGTGATACACAGTGAAAGGGACATTGAGATCTATCAGAATAACGCTTTGAGAACTGCAGCCCAAGTTTATCAAACAAGGGAACAAGCGCGAACCTCTAGATCAACAGGCCTATCTGAATAGCATTCATACAGACGCAGTTGGGTACTTGCAAATCTCCTACTATGCGTGACTTCCCGGGTGGCGGATGGGAAGCGGGTCTCCATGATGTGCAGAGTGAAACTGACCTAGAACAACTTTTCTCTGCACTTCGTGGAAACCTTGAAGATCTTTGGATAGTGCCCTTAAATTAATTAACTACGATGGAAATAAATAGTAAAAAGAATAATGTTACGGTGCAGGGAGTTAATAACCCAGTACCGGCGGCAATCGTTGGTGAGATCACAAGCCACGTGTCGTGTCACAAGGTGTGGATGCCTTGGCACCTGCAGCTGTATCTGTTACAGGTGCATCAATTTCGAACCCGAACAACGTTGACGAACCGGCAATTCCATTGGTAAACCATCAAGTCAGGACTGATGAAAATCAGTCTCTGGCTGACAGGATTGTAGTTCTGGGAGGGGACGACATACACGGGAACCTTAACGCTATCCGCGATAGCAAATTAGGGAAATCTTCGACCAGTTAGACAGACTTGCACCGGAAGAGCAATGTGGGGATACGCCTCTGGAGGAACTGCAACTAAATCTCAAGTCAAAAGGCAAAGGAAACGGCTACTGAGAACTTCCCGACACAAAATGTCTCCCATAAGGGTGATCAACGTGTGGAGGGCTCTGAACGCCTTCTAGAGAACTTCCAGAGATGCTCCTAGAAAAACTCCTATGATCAGTCCTTATAGATGTCACTCTGGCTAACTATTAGAATTTCGTCCGACCTATTATTTCTTATTATCTTCTGTTATTACTTTAGAATGCCTTCAGGACTTCTACATGAAAACCTTCTGGCCATCTGAACTTCTATAAGAAGACATTCTGAAAAACTATTAGAAGAGAGTCATTAAAAAATTCTTGAAACCCACATTTCGAACTTCTATGAGAATACCTTTCGAAATTGTATGATAAGCACTTCTAAAAAATATTCCTGGCTTTTAAAAAAGCTTCTGGTCTTCTTTGCGAAAACCTTCTGGGATTCGGAACTACAATGAGAAGTCAAACCTACGCTAAAAGGTCTTCTATGAGAAATCCTTGAATACGCTTTTTCCTTGTATGAAAATACCTTTTGGTTTTATATGAAGTTTTCTTTCCGTTATTATTAGAATAAACTTCCGGTTTTTATGACACTTTCTGTGAGAATCCTTCAATGTAAATACCTTCCGGTTTTAACCGAGACGATCTTCTGATCTTCTATGTGAATACGTTCTTGTCTTCTATAAGAATACCTTTTCTTCTTCTATGAAAAAATGTTCTGTCTTCTCGTCTTTTATGAGAAGTTGTTATATTACTTTCTTGTACGACCAAACCTTTTTTATGAGAAATTGTTATAGTCTTCAAAAAGGAGATTTTTTTACAAAAGTACTATTATGTATTTCTTAAGAATATCTTCTGATCTACAAGTCTATTAAGGAAGATATGAGTTTCTTCCACAAGATTTCGTACAAGAAGAATTTTGGCCTCTTCCTTTTGCTCTTTGCTATATATCTTCTGATCTTCTATAAGAAAACCTTTTAATAGGAGATATTGTGGCTTTCATTTTCTATAAGAAGTCCACCTTGTTTTTTTTTTTATAAGAACAAATTTTAAATTTCCATGAATATAATAAAAATTAATAAAAAATTATCAACATCAAATTCTACTTACATTTCCTTGCTGTAATTTAATCGTTTGACCGCCAATAACAATACTGCCCGCTGAGGTTTGAACAATATTTTGTGTCGAAGATGATGGATTGACAATTTGTGCCTTATTAATGGCGGTCACTGTTTTTCCAGATGCCAATACAAATGGCTTTCCTTGCAACGTGGTGACATTAATGTTGCCTGACAACTGATTGTTAGAATTTAGAACTCGTATATTACCCGCCGTTGCTGTGGTCGTTCCCCCAACAGCTTTGGTAATAATTTTTGTGCCACCAGCCGTTGTTAGAATACGTCGTTGTCCCGCTGTTGCTGTTGTTACAATACCGGGAGTGACTTTCGTGGCATCAACATTAACGAAGGATGTGTTAACCGATCCAGAATTTGCTTGAGTTGTTATAATGCGTTGACCCACCGTAATATTGCTGGAATTACTCAATGATATAATACTATTCGGTACAGAAACAATGGCATATTGTTGCTGTTGTTGAGATTGTTGTTTTTGCTGATGTTGTTGTTGTGGAGCTTTTTGCAATATTGTTGTTGTTGTATTCAATTGTTTATTGGCCTTAACAACTGTTGTGGGATTTACATTGCCGGCAATTCGTAATGTCCCCCCTTGTTTTTGTATTAGACTATCCAAAGAGATGATTTGGGCGCCCGAACTGGTGATAATACGAGCCGTTTGATTTGTAGCTGCCTCTGAAGATTTCTGTTGTTGTTGCTGCTGCTGGGGACTTGTAGTTTTGAGTATTTTGGTTATGTTTTGTTGCTGCACTGAGGCGTTATCCTGCGACGATGCCATAACTACAGTCTTGGGTGTTGTATTGGATTGAGATGCTGGCGCCGCCGCCAACGTTATTGTTTGTGGTCGTTGTATGATATTTTGTTGCTGCTGTGTCGATGTTGGGGCAGCAGCATTGTTGGCAACAACTTGTACTGTTTTAAATTGTAATTGATTTTGATTAATATTACTGCCGGTGGATTGTTGTTGCTGCTGTTTAAGATTTTGCATGAGTATTCTTTGTTGTTGTGGTGTCAAAATTGTTGTATTAATTGTTTGTATTTTATTTGTACCACTTAATGTGGTCGTTGACGAAGCCGATGTAGTGGTTGTCGTGGGTGTGACTACCACCGAAGTTGCACTGCCGACTGGTAATTGTTGTAGTATAATATTTTTGCCTTGTGTTGATTGTCCAATGACAGATGTGTTGCCTGAAAAAAAAAAAATATGGAAGAAAAAAAGAAAGACAAGGCGATTAATAAATTAAAGAAAAAATTAAAGAAAAAATTAAATTAATTAAGGCAAAGTCTTTAAATAAATTTTAATTCGTATACGAACGTTTTAATTTAATTGAATATTAAGGCTCATATTTTTAAAACTTATTGACAAGGTGCTTTTAAAAACGCAGATATGTTTACATCTTGAGTCGTCAACGATCGTGACGTTTTTTTACCAGAACCTTATATATAATATCTTAAATTATAATGTTTTGGAAGGAAGATTTCTAAAACTCATGGAAAATCTGTAGCCTCTCCATTTAATTAAAAAAAATAGAAAACTATTCTGCTGGCCTTTTATAACATGACAATCGGAACTTTCTAACCATCTGTTCTGCGAAGAGTTTCTGTTGATCTATGGGAATACTTCCTGTATTCTTGAGAATAACTTCTAATTTTCTGAGTGAGTGACCTTCTGGCCTTTCATGTGAAGGGTATATTCTGACATTCTATTCGAGTACCTTCTGGGCTTCTACATGAAAACATTCTGGACATTTGAACTTCTATGAGAAGACATTCTAAAAGTCTGTTAGAAGAAACACTGAATGAGAAGACTTTCTGGCGCAATATTTGAAAACGTTTCGGCTTTCTATGCGAAACCCATCTGACATTCTATGAGAATAACTTCTTATTTTCTAAGTGAGTTATCTTCTGGCATTTGATGAGAAGACCATCTGGTTTCTATGAGAATGGGTCTGGCTTACTATTATAATATCTTTTGGCCTTCTATTAGAGCACCTTCTGACATTATATTAGAATACCTTTTGGGCTTCTACGTAAAAATCTTCTGACCAACTGAACTTCTATGAAAAGACATTCTGAAAATGTATTGGAAGAGACAATTAACATTTTTTGGAAAACTCATTCCAAATTTCTATAACTGTTGTGAGAAGACATTCTGATTTTCTATGAGAAAAACATTTGGACTTCTGTCCTTATATGAGAATGGTTTCCGGTCTTCTAGGAAAATTACTTTCTGACCTTGTGGTCTTTTACGACAACACATTCTATAAAATAACATCTGATCCACCAGGTCTAGAATACCTTCTGAACTATTAGAAGTCCTTATATATAAAATATCTCCTGTGCTTCTATTAGAATATCTACATTTCTACGTTCTGAACTTCTATCAGAAGACATTCTGCAAATCTGTGAAAAAATCTGAACATCTTTGAGAAGACATTCGGAACTTCAATATAAAGACTTGTACAGCAAGATCTTCCTAACTTTTATGAGAAGATCTCCAAAAAAAACCCTTCTATAAAAATTACTTCTGGCCTATGGAAGAATGATTTTCTGGCCTTCTATAAAAATAGCATTCTGATCTTCTTGCCATCTACGAGAATATACTAATAAAATACCATTATATATTATTATTATTAATAAAAATACCATTTGACTTTCTAAGAGAAATTCTCCTGCCATTCTATGAGAAGTCTAAATGTCCAATCTGAACATCAATTTGAAGACATTTTAACCTTGCATAAGAAGAAATTCCGAACTTCTATGAGAATCCCTTCTGGCCTTTAATAAAAGACAAATCCTGATGTCTTTATAGGAGAATTGTTTTCTGAAAATGACTTCAGTGAAAATGACATCATCGATTTCGATATATGAGAAGTCCTTATGAAAAGGACTCAGGGCGTCTTTATAGGCGAGTTGAGGCTCCGAGAGACTTTTTAGGCTCAGTGAGTCTTTATAGACGAATTGAGAGTCAGGGAGTCTTTATAGGCGAGTTGAGGCTCCGGGAGTCTTTTTAGGCTCAAGCAAGTTGAGGCTCCGGTGGTCTCTTTAGGCTCAGGGAGTCTTTATAGGCGGGTTAAGGATCATGGAGTCTTTTAGGCGAGTTGAGGGTCAGGGAGTCTTTATAGGCGAGTTGAGTCTCCGGGAGTCATGATAGACGAGTTAAGGCTCAGGGAGTCTTTATAGGCAAATTGAGGCTCCGGTAGTCTTTTTAGGCTCAGGGGGTCTTTATAGGCGAGTTGAGGCTCAGGGAGTCTTTTCAGACGAGATGAGGCTCAATAAGTCTTGATAGGCGAGTTGAGGCTCCGGAAGTCTTTTTAGGCTCCGGGACAGTTTATAGGCGAGTTGAGGCTCCGGGAGTCTTTATAGGCGACTTGCGGCTCAGGGAGTCTTTTTAGGCGAGTTGAGGTTCCGGTAAGCTTTATTGACGAATTGAGGCTCAGGAATTCTATATGGTTGACTAACTTGGGTATTTTTTGCTCAGCTCAGTCGTGTTATGCAGCATTCGGTACAGGCTCCCACACTTTAATAGCGCCGTCATGTTTAGCCAATTTAATACAGATGGTCTAGGGTTGAAGTCAGGTGAACTACAAAACATTTGTTACCCCTTTGACGTATTTCCACGATTCTGACTCGTGGTACAATTTCTGTGCCTAACATGATTATGATTCGATTCTCATAATAATAAGAATAAAACTAGTTGATGCCGTGCACAACATCTAATCTAAAATAAATAGTTTTATTACATGCATTCACATTTCGTTTCGTTTTGTGGCTGTTCTTAAGCGTCAAAACCGGTTTACTTAGTGCAAGTTGTGTGCTAACAGTTGGAAGCGAACTTCGTTGCGCTAATTGATAGGTCAAAGGGTTAACATAGTTGGAACCAAAACTAGATAGATTTAAAGAAAGTAATGGTGATTGCCCACAACGATTTTCATTTGATTAACTAAAAACGGAAGTCTATATTCGCTGTTCGAACTTTTCTTTTCAAAGAACTTTCTGTTCATGTTTTCAAAATGTCCAGGAATCTTTGAATAACATAGCTTTACAATGTTTGACCTGGTTAGAGCTATTCGTCCTGAGAATGTGGTGAGGAGGATGAGAGAGATTCACTTGAATTATTTTACAAGGTACCGTCTTCTTCTTTCCATAAATAGGTGGCGTTTGAGTGACATAGCTGGAGCTTTTATTTATTTATTCTTGAGCAAATCCCAGGATTATAGCTCTTATGGTTCTTGAAATTAAAGTCTTTATCTGCATTTTGAACTTCATTTCCGATTACAACAAATATGTTAGGCATGTAAACCTGACACAAAATTTCATGTTGAATATCCTTCCTATTTATATTTTCAGACTTCCAAGTCCATTGTTAGTCCTATGTCTTACTGTTTTATGATATATATATATATATATATATATTATTTTTTTAATACTATCTCATAAAACTTACCCAATATAACTCTTTGAGTTTTAACCGTTTGACCCATGGCCGTTTGTATTTTGGCACCGGTAGGCGATGTCGTTTGTTTCATAACAATATGTTGTTGTTGCTGTTGTTTTTGTTGCAATGCAGCAAATGCCTGAGCTGACATTTTGACAATGGAACCAGCCGCTGGTGATGCCGAAGTCGATGTTGCTGTAGTCGAACTACTTGAACTGCTGTTGATGGTAACAATATTTCCACTACTTGATAGCAATTGGAATCCTGATGTATTCCGCTGTTGTGGAGTATTGGGTCTTTGTTCCGATGGTATGGGACTTGTGGCCGCTATATTCGTTGTGACAATTCTTTGTCGTTGTTGACCACCACCACTACTTGTGGGTGATGAGAGAATTGTTTTAACATTTGAGGTTGGTAGCAGGCGTATAATATTTTGTTTACCACCACTCAACGAGGGTGTATGGGAGGATATAGAGTTGTCGGAAAGTTCTGTGGCAGCAGCAACAACATTACCAGTATTTATATTAATGCTATTGGCCATGGAAATGGGTAAGGTAATAATGTTTGAGGATTGCTGCTGCAATTGTTGCTGTTGTTGCGGACTAAGGGTAATGCGGCTTTGTTGTTTAATAATTTGTTGGGGAGATTTCTGTTGCTTAGCTGACGCATTAATAGAGGATTGTTGTTGCTGCTGCTGCTGTTGTTGACTTGTAACTTGGTTAATAATTATGGGTTTGTTGAGCATTACCCGTTTACCAGCCAAATTGGCGGTGAGATTTGTTTGCACCGGCGATGTTTGCTGATGATTGGTTTTGTTCGTATTCGCCGCTGATGAGACCACTGAGGTGGCATTTGAAACATGCACAGTTTGTAGACCTTGTGGTGTGGCCACAATAATTGGTGTCGTATTTGAAGGTTTTGCCTGTGGAACTTGAAAACTATGTTGACCGCCGGCAGTAGACACCGTATTTGATTTATTCTCTTGTCTAATTGTGGGTTTGAGTAGAGATTTTTGTTGCTGCTGATGTTGGATTTGTTGAGGACTGGTGGTGTTGGTGTTCACGGTTATTTGTTGTTGTGTGGGAGGTATATTGTATTTTAATGGTGGTACAGGGGGACACTTGCTGAGCTGAATTTGTTGCTGTTGTTGTAAATGTTTTTGTTGTGCTGTTAACGAAGCTGTTGGCTGCCTTGGAGGATTGCTGCTATGGTTGCTAACAATAATGGGATTGGCCGGTACCAAGGCGGGCAATGTTAATAACGTTCCACCACCTCCACTGCCTCCACCATTAATTTCCGCTATTTCTTGTTCGGGACTATTTAATTTGGTGCCTTGTGCCGTCGCCACCACTGGCCTTGGTTTACGTTGTTGCAATTTCTTGACCTTACCCATACTCTGATTCTGCTGATGTATCCTCTCAAATTCCTCTTCCGTGCGATTACGATGTAAATAAATCCATATTTTCCTTTTAGGATCGTATCGTACACAGGGATCATGTTCGGTATGCATCCGATCCAAAGCACCGCTGACAATGGTTTGTAACACATTCTCCGCTGCATCGGGGTTTATGTATTGTGAACATTTTAAGAGTTCGGAAATATCGGCTCGTGTACCCTCTCCATTAGGTAGTCGAGCTGTGGCATCTCGCACCAGGGTAAGTATGGTAACAAAATTTGGTCTATCGCCCACCATCATACTGTGGCCTCGGGCCTTTGCCAAGGCCAACATTGGGGTGTAAATCCCTTTGACGGGACCCACGACACTCTCATAGCCATGCATATAATAAGTGTAGGCTTTGTGTGGTTGCTCAAAACGTTCCCTTTCCTGCCGTTGAAATTCAAGAATTTCTTCCGCAGTTGCTGGCCGCACTGTCCATGTTGTGGGAAATCTTGGTGGCGGCGGTGGTGGTATCATTGCTGCAGCTTCTGCTGTTGTCTCATCACTTTCCACAACCGATTTGGGCAACACTTCCAATTTGCCTTCGATGGACTTTTGTTTTTCCTGCGGATGTTTCCGCTTCTCCATCCAAACATTACATAGTTCGGTGAGACGATTATCGGAATCACGCCCCGCCCCTATCCATTGATAGATATTCAGCTGTATTTTATGTTCTATATAGGGTACATATTCCTCGGGTAAGTCGGGAAAATCACCAACCAAAAAGTTGATGGCAGAACTTAGCAAATTCGACCAATTTTCGGCATGGGCATACCATTCGTTGAGGGCAGTTATGGGATTTCTTAACCATATATCGATTTTTGATTTTAGATCATCATAACGCATACGATGATTTGGTGTGGAACAGAAAAAGTCACGTATCAATGAGAAATATGAGGCATGGGTCTCCTGGATTAATTCACTGGAACATAACACATTTGTCATTTGTTGTTGTGACCCTGGTGATGGGGATGATAGGGATTTTTGTTGATTGTTTAGAGATTTGATTGTGGGTTTAATCGAAATTGGTTCCAATTTTGGTAATGGTTGTTGCTGTTGTTGTTGTCGATTGCCATTTTTATGTGAATGAGAACTTTGTAACATCGATGAAGTACCATTTCCGTGGCCACCCAAAACAATATCATCACCGATAACAAAGTTGCTAAGGTTATCATCTCCAGCGGAGGTACCAGCAAATGTTTCGACCTCTTCCTGTTGCAATTCCACCTCATTATCTAACATATTAAAGGCATCATGATCACTGGTGGCCAATATTGATGTATCATCCATGCACAGATTTAAATTATCACTGTGTCCCGACATAAATGAGGACATATTCAGTGAATCATTGGTGGTATTATGTAAATGATGATTGTTGCTGGTCTTTGTGAATGCGGAGGGTGATTCCAGTTGTTGTTGCTGCTGTTGTTGTTGGTGATAATGTTGTATGGTTGTTGCTGTTTTAGTTGGTGATACTGTTGGCATATTGCCGCCCGAATTCTGAAATATTTCCACATTTTTCTTTGTAATAGTCTGTTGAATGGGTACAAGGGCAGGTGGTTCACTAAGTTTTGTTGCAATTTGTGATGATGATAATGTTGGGGGTGTTGATGTAGGTGGTTGTGGTTGTGTTTGGTTCATGTTGGCTGCATTATTTGGTGTTGCGGGCAATGAGGAGGGCAGTGGCTTGCTATTTATTTCCAATGAGCTCTCCGTTTTCTCAGTAGCACCCAATTGATTTGAGTTAGATGGAATGGTATTGGCGGCTGATTTTGGTTTACGTCCTGGTTTCCCTGCTCCCAGTACACGTTTGAAATTGCCACCAATCTGGGCACGGGCACAAACATCTCTTAGCCGTATATCGGAGGTTTCCAATTCGGGTAATGTCTACAAATAAAAAAAATTGAAATTAATTAAAGAATTTAAATACTTCTAAAAATTAGCAGCCTTACCGGTTCCGTTAGCTTTCTTCGCTTGTGTTCCCTTAAATATTCTTTAAAATTACGATTTGTTAGCCTCGATTGACGAGATCGCTGTTGCAAACGGAACGCATCCTCATCATCTAGCTCGGAACGTTTTCGAAATACCGTACTGTATACACATCGCTCTGCCAATGCAATATTCGCCTTAGGCGGTTCGGCATTTTCTTCCAGCGACCGCTGTTGTTGTATCAAATCTTTACGCCATTCCTCATTAAGATTATTATCCATATCGTTCTCTTCATCGGCACTAAGTACAAAATCGTCTTGGAGTTGCAATTCTGTGGCGATTTGTGAGATTTCATTGTAGAAACGTTTGCGGGCTCTAATCGCCGACAGCTTATTATCATGATATAAATGTCCGGGTTTCGGTTGACGCATACTCGACACCGAGGTAGAGGGCAGGGGAGCTTTGGTCACAGATTCTGGCAAAGATTTATATGCATGCTCCAGCAAACGTTGCCGGGAGACAAATAATTGTTTGGCCATATACGATAGACGTTCGCAGTTTTGAAATTTACTTTCCCGCCTTTGGGATTTTTTTATATTTTCTCGTAGCTTTTTTATATCCGGACGATAGTTGCCAGCCTCTAAATGTTTTTGTAAATTAGCCATAGGCGATTGGCCAAATGCGGTCAGTTCTCCACTAAATAACATGGAAATGGATCGGGCCTGTTCAACAGCTGCCATTTGGGGTGGTAGAACTTTATGGAAATTGGGCAGGAATTGTTGAAGATGATTTTGCATGTGTGGTGGCAGGGACTGCCAAGTTTCCACGGAGAAAAATTCTTGGAAAATGGCAGGATTTTCACAAAGACCTCGCGGCAAACTCAATACCTCATTTGTAATTTTTGCCAATTCTAACGAATCATCGGATTCATTTTCTTCATCTGAGTCATCATCGGAGGATGTTGATGAGACACTGGAATCTCCGGCTGAACTACTGCTGCTGGATTCCATTTCAAAATTGTTGCCATAGACGAGATTGTGTTGCTGTTGCATTTGTTGTTGATGTTGTTGCATTAGCATTTGATGCCGCTGCCTTCGTTCATTGTCATCCTGGCCACCAGCAACACCTCCTCCGGCAAAGGATTCACTATATTCCGAATCGGACATATGGAATGTCTGGTATATATTGTTCACCTCACGAAGAAAACACTGTTGGGTTGGCTCTGCAGCAAGTGTGACCTGCAAACATTAGAGAAAATCAATTGGCCCACATTAGTGCGTTGCGTTTTTGGATATGATTATTTACTTTTCGTCGTCGCAGTCGTTTTCTTTTTCTATTATCAAAATTTCTTCTCTATACCAAACAGCGCATAACATTCGGACAGTCAGTCACCAGCCAGAGTCGTCGAAGCAGGCACAACAGCAGCACCACAAACAATTTGTTTAACTTAAATTATAAATTTGAACAGACAGACACACACACGAACAACAAAACGGCACCACACACTTTTTTTATAAAATTTTTCTCTTCTATTTTCTTTTCAGTTGCATCATCGTTAAATTCATTTTTTTCGTTTTTGCTTCTTGCCTGTCTGCTTTTTCATTCATTGATTTAATAGAGAAGTTTCGTGTGCCCACTTTGTTGCAGCAGCAGCCGCCGTAATATTTTTCTTTTGGAGACCGAGTTCAAGATAGCGCCCGTTTTTCAGATGGGAAATCAACAAACCTTGGGTTTTCGTTATGTCCCCCAGTTAAAAGAATATGCCACCGATAATCTGTATAGCGAATAATCTTAATTTTTAGGCGATTAAATGCGCAATTACATGATTTTCCTTCTTCTTTTCTTTCGGAATTGTCTTGTGGCTTGTACTTCTCTTGCCCTACTCGTGTTTTTTTCACTCGATAATTTTGTGAACATTTTTTAAAATATAAAGTATTCTGTGAGAATACAACCCTGTATTTGGGAATTTTCTCTTTGATTTGACAGCTCGGGGAGATATACAAATGCTAAATGCTGTGAAATTGTGTAGTGATGTTGCCAGAGAAATGGCAAAAGTTAAGGGTATTCAGTGGGTAAAATACTGTAGACGATAAAGAAAAAACAAAGACAACGGAAATCACATGGGACTGATGACAGAATGGAAATAATGGAAAATATTAATATTTTAAGGTTCTAGACAATTATGTCCTTAGCACTATATATTAAAAATATTTTCTGTAATAAATCCACAATTTTATAAAATAAATATTAATTAAAAAAATAATTTTCTACTGTCCTTGAAAAAAAATTATCAAAAGATCAAATTTTCAATAGACGTTCATAAAATATTCGTTTAACATTCTCAATTAAATCCGCGAGGAACCCTTTAAAAATTCTCGCTTCTTTCCAGTATTAAATTTCCATAAAAAATCGCAAATCTCTTGGTTGTTGAAAAATATTCTTTAGAAATACTTTTTTTGCCAACTCCACCAAACAAAAGTATATAGGATCGGATGTCAATCTGCTATTACCAGTGAAATATCACTATGTCGTTGCTGGAGTTTTTAAAATATTTCCGAACATTTTCTTTTCAAATCCCATATTGGTAACAGCTAGTTTTGGCGACCTCTGCATGTCAGTTCATGCTAGAAATAGAAAATATATCTATCAACCTTTTGACATTTTTCCCCAATTTCATGTTAGCCATTTTCTAAGGTTTTTTTGGAAATAATGATTTTTTGGAAGATTATAGAGGTTTCATTTTACCAAAAATCCTTAGACTCGTCCATTTTGCCGTAAGCGAGTCCAGTGATCAACACCTTAAAACTTTTTGGTATCTTAAAAAAAAAAAAAACAATTGCTTTAATCAGCTCTCCTGTTAATTATCCTTAGATAATTTTATATATATATTTTTTTTCTTTGTGTAAAAGAATTATATATTCTGTAAGTACTACAAAAGTATTCTATTAGAGTTTTTTTTACAAATTTCTCATTTTTTTTTATTTTAGTATTTTTATAAAATTCACCCACGTAATATCGTTTTTTTTTGTAAAAGTCATCAGTTCATCTGTTCATTTCTTTCCTCTACTTGCATTGGCATATTAACAAGGTAATTATTTCTGTTTTATTGTCAATATTCTTGCCTTTGCTTCATTTAGTTCTCTCAAAAATTAAAACTGAATATCATTTGGTTTGTTAGGTATTTATCGTAAGGAGAGTACCGAAATTGGGACAGCTGTGCTGCAATCAATAGGCTTGATCGATCTCTTCACTCATATCAGTTTTGTTGTTCTACAGAAGAATTTGTCACAACAAGCAAAACGCGGATTATTGGTTTTGCCTATTCGACGTGAGATTAGTATTCACTGAATAAACTAAAGAAGAGCTGTGGTAAAATTAAGAAAGGCAGATCAAAGTCTTGTAAAAAAAAAAAAACATCAGCAGATTCCACCAAAAATATCATTAAACTCCGATAAAAACGACTTACCAAAACTTGACAGAGTTTAAGTGAAAAAAATATATTCAAAATTATACCAATGTGAGTGGAAAAACAAAAGGAGAAAATAAGAGAAAAATTAAATTTGTTCCGAAAATATTATGGAAATCATAATGAAACAAAATTAAAATTAATAATATGATTAAAATTTTTACGAGTGTTATTTCCTTTTAAAAAAAAAATCAAGTTTTGGATAAAATTTAATAAGTGATATTTTTTACTTGCAATAGAATTTTATAAAAAAAGAAAGAAAAAAAAAACAACAACAAAAATAATAATTCCGTTGCTTTTGGTTTCGAAGCATTAGCTACTACACACACAAATTACAAATTTACCACCAAATTACAAATCTATTAATGATCATTACAGATCACATTTAAAATTGTCTTGTGTGTGTAGTTATGTTCGTTTTCAAAAGTTACGGTTGCCGACATACAAAATCTCCAAACAAAGTTATTGTTTGATGCAAACTCATCCATCAAACTTTTAACGACCCAACTTGTATGATGCAGCCAATCATCACAGTCTCTTACATCTCACTCATTTGTACCTCTCATTTAATGCATATTTTCACCATTAAGCTGTTGTTGCTGTAAATTCATCTCTGAGAAAGTACTTTCAACGAGGGAACAAATCAACAAAGCACGTAAGTCAATAACCTCTTACTTTGATTTTTAATGAGAATACGATATAAAAGAGAATAACAAAACAAAAGAAAGGTGAACATATGTTGTGATGTTACAAACGGTTAGTTGTTGAAATGAACTAACTATGAAATTAATATTGTTTTAAATTTGTTTTTTTTTGTAATAAAATAAAAGAATAAATAAATAATTATTAATTAATGATAAATAAAAAAAAATTATATTCTAAATGCAATAATAGATATTATTTGATCACCTTTCTTTGTTTTCAAATTAAAACGAATAATTTAATTATTCTCTTTGATTATTAAAAATTGATATTTGAGCTGTGAATTTGATCTCATTTACATGCATTTTTTTTTTTTGTTGTGATTTTTTTCTAATTTATGGAATTTCGATGGGTATCAATTCAAGAGATTTTTAAACTGAGAAAGAAAATAATTTAATTTCACTGCGAAATAACACTCGTCGTTTAGAAATATTCAAATTTGTTAGTTTTTTATAAATTTTAGATTATTTATTTTTTTGGAGTAATAATAATAATTATGATTGATAAACATTATTAGGTTTTTAGATTACTATTAATATGGAATTTGAATTGTTTTCTCTTACATACTTTTTTTTTTATTTTGCTTTTTTTTTTTATTTTTTAAGAGAAATTGTTAAACATGTTTGAATTTAATATGAATAAAAGCATAATCATGTGTTGTGAGTAAAAAGATCAAAATATCTGTTTGATATCTCTCTGATGTAGACGAAGGTTTTCTTGTTGCAGTAGGGGTTGCAACTCAACATATCTTTTGGAAACATATTCTTGTTGCGACCAGGTTGGGAGGGCAAATCGAGCATCACAACAACAATATGCTCTGCAACATTTTGGTTCATGTCCGTTTCCTCTTCTTGCAACTTTGTCTCCAAACTTCTTATATGTGTATGCAGTGCCTTCCGTTTCCCACTTACGATTTTAATATAGATTTTTCATAATTAACAACATCTTTAATTGCACGCAAATAATGTATAGTTCGCGTAGCCAGATGGCAGAGGAATATTGATAAAAATTGGAACCCCCCCTCCGACGAGCAAAAGGCTGGTTTTTTTGCGTGCATATCATTCAATATATTTCTCAACAACAACATCAACCATCATTAATATCAGTTATATGCTACAGAAATATAAATGGCGCCCAACGTGGGGCCCGAACATTAACTGTTCTATTTTTTTCCATCTGACTTATTGTCACATATGTTCGGCTTCACAAAAGTTTTATTTTAATTTCGTAATGTTTTCTTAACTTACTTTTCTCGGTTCTGCCGATCCTCTTATTCTTATTCCAAAGTACTAGGAACTGGTTGGAATTCATTTATGGTAAAAAAAAATATCCTTTAGTGACCACCATATCCCTATACTTTTTTTCTGTTTGCTCCTAGTCAATTCTGAGAAATTTGATGGAATACAGTTTTCTGGGTTTTATGATACTAGTTCTGGCCTCAAATATTTTTAGACTGACAAAATCTTAACTTTTTCATTCTTCGGATTTACTGCAAATTTGTTTCGGTACCGAAGTTTGAATTCTTTTCCTATTCTATTATATGTTTTACTTTTTTTATCGCCAAATGTTGTTATTAACAGAAAACCTGTCAAGCTAAGAGAGTAATCAAACAGATAGAAATTAATTTGTATACGAATTTTGGTAATCCGATATTCTTATTTCAATTGAATGCAAAGTATTAATAATCTTTAGTCTTTTTGTTCTTTATTTTTTTAAAATTTTCTATTTTTTTTATATACAATTTTTATATAACTTTACATAACATTTTTGATTTTTTTTTCTTTTATAATCAAATTGGTTATAGATAATGCTTAGCGTTGTTTAAAGTTTTAAATAGATTTTTATGATTTTTTGTTTATTTGGTTTTGAGTTAAACTTGAACTCGATTTCAAATTAACCTCGAACTTATTTCTTTTTTGCATTTCATTCTTTGAAACTGTTATTGGTAGGATATAATTGAATATTTAGAGAGCTCGGATAAACTGGTTGAGTTAGTTC